ATAATAAATTAGCTATAATATAGGAAATATATATCTGCTGAGAAAAGCTTATTACATTTAAAATATTTCTACAATATGTATTAAACAAAAATATTAACATTTTCTGGAATTAACTTTTTAATATACATAAATTCCGTGTGTATAGAGAAGAATTTTCTGTCATTGCTGGATATAATATTTTCATCAAAATTTCTTGCCGAATTTTAAACATAATTTCGACTTGCTGAATCGAGAACTTTTGGCTATTCAACGAAGTGAAAGTAAATTATCAATTATGAGGATAAGCCAGGACTATGTGTCACTTGGAAGGGATATGAGACAGACTAAGATCTGGGGAGGTAAGGTAATTAGCAGGAGACAACGCTAAGCTATTAAGACAATGTACCACATGGAGAGGATATGAGGACAAGAAGCTGGTATATGAGGACATTTGAACAAAAATTCGACAGAATGGATGGTAGCCATTCAGTGGGACCTTCGGGTATCGAACGCCGAACTGCATGATGCGAAGCCTCCACTGTACTAACCAGCCCAAGTGGCTGGACTAGCAAAGTGGTAGTTGATACTCATCTCCTGAGACACTACTGGATCTCCTGTGTATGAATTGATGCTGTTTTGTTTACATCTCGAAAGTGGGGCCTGAACCTATTGAGTTTGATCTGACTGCTATTTATCCAGTCAGCTGTTAAGCCAGTTAGCTGCTGATCCAATCACCTGCTGACCAAGTTGGCTGTTGACCCAATCAGCTGTTGGCCTAATCAGCTGTTAACCCAGTCAGTTATTATCCAATCAGCTATTGACCAAATAAACTATTCACCCAGTTACCAGTTAACCTAGGCAGCTGTAAATCTATTCAGCTTTTGACCTATTCAGTTAACACTGAGTGTTAACACTCAGTCAATTGTTAACCCAGTCAACTGATATCCCTGTCATCAAATAATTCAGTCAGCTGTTGACCAAGTTAACTGCTGCCCCAGTCAGCTATTGTCAAATTCATTTGTTGTGACCCAGTTAGCTGTCGACCAAGTCAGCTGTGCAACCCTCAATAATTGGGGGTTCCTGTCAGACATTAACCAATCACGCTGCGGAGCCAAGCAGCGTTGGATCGAGTAAACTGTGAACTCAGATCGTTCCTTTACCAGTCAGGGAGTGTGTGGGGGGGGGGGGACTGTGAATGGAGAACGTTTGTAAAATGAGAAATACATGACCGTGTAGAACTAGATTTCCGAAACTTGTGTTGTTGTGTTGCGTCTGGAATTACAATAAGAGTGGAGGAATGTTGTGCTTTCAGTGAAGACCCTTGCACCACCAGAACCACCTTCCCCCCCTGTTCTGGTCTTGCTGTGGCATGCAAGCCTTCATTTTGTCACGCATTGTTGCGTTTATGTGTTCTTCTTCTCTGTCTCTCTCTCTCTCTCTCTCTGTTTCTCTCTGTCTCTCTCTGTCTCTCTGTCTCTCTCTGTCTCTCTCTGTCTCTCTGTTTCTCTATCTGTCTCTCTCTGTCTCTCTCTGTTTCTCTGTCTCTCTCTGTTTCTCTCTGTCTCTCTGTCTCTCTCTGTTTCTCTGTCTCTCTCTGTTTCTCTCTGTCTCTCTCTGTTTCTCTGTCTCTCTCTGTTTCTCTGTCTCTCTCTGTTTCTCTCTGTCTCTCTCTCTCTCTGTCTCTCTGTTTCTCTCTCTGTTTCTCTCTGTCTCTCTCTGTCTCTCTCTGTCTCTGTCTCTCTGTCTCTGTCTCTCTGTCTCTCTCTGTCTCTGTCTCTCTGTCTCTGTCTCTCTCTCTCTCCCCCTCTATCAAAATATGTGCATGTTTGCGTGTGTATATGTATTTGCTATTTTTTTTTACAATTTGTACGTGACAAATCGAGTTTTTAGCTCTTGGGCCCCGCCTCTATAACCATCGGTTGTCTTGCGTAATGGCACACGACCGAATTTTTTAAACAGTAAAAAGAACATATATTTCTCCTCTCACACACGCACAGGTCCACGGGGCCTGACGGCTGAGTGTACAGCGCTCAGTATTCGTAGTCCTATGGGTCCACGACATGTCTGGAAGAACATGTAACGACATGCTTTAACTAGAGCGTGTATGGGGGTCACCAAGCACACAGGTTCGATCCCTTAGCAAGGCTTCTGTGGCTTTGTGCTTTGAGATATAACGTTAATGTGATTTATCTGTGTCATGTTTAGTATTTTTAGTTGATGAAGGCTGAAAATTACCATTACTGTGATGTAGCGATGTCGTAACGTCGCTACGTCGTAAAATACGTCAAAATAAACACGCGTCTACATTGTGTGATATCTGGGTATTCGGTTTCAAGAACCGACTTGAGAATGGTCCAGGACGGACCGAAACGTCGTCGTCCCTTCACCTTCTAGTGTGTGGTCTGGTCAACACATTCAAGACGTTTAAACGATTGTACTGACTGTAGGTGTCGACAGGGAAGCTATGACCAAGATTTGCGACACTTGCAACTCTCTCCTGAACACAATTTTATAATATATTACTTACCCTGAAGGCTTTCGCGTGAGGGAAATCAGGAAATTCAGGAGGAGTAGCGAGGTGTGAATCTCACAGGAGAAAGGCTGACTCCTCCTGGTGGGGGAATATCCGAATTTCACGACAAAAAAGTATTGGAAGGGAATATCGATGAGGACATTTTAAACAGCGTGTAAGAGTCGAAATAACAGCGGCTTTTTAACTGTACTGTTGGATGTATCTACTTGGAACAGTGATGGGGCTCACTTCTTGCGGGGTCGACGTTCGATACCCCAATGATCTGAGAGGTTGAGTGATGCTTTTTTACAGCATCTTCGTGTCCAAATGCAGCTTCTTGATCTCTCATCCATCGGTGAGGTATTTAGACATTTTCTCAGCATCAGAACTCATTCCCCATTGGTCTTACAAGTTGCAACTGTTCTTTCTCACCATCTATCTCAATTTCTTGGCCTCATGTCTCAGTTTCTCATCCTCATATTCCAATTTGTATGTTGTGTCTTCTAACGCAACATACCACATACTGTACCAGACAAGATGCAGTCGATATATATATATATATATATATATATATATATATATATATATATATATATATATGTTGTACCTAGTAGCCAGAACGCACTTCTCAGCCTACTATGCAAGGCCCGATTTGCCTAATAAGCCTAGTTTTCATGAATTAGTTGTTTTTCGACTACCTAACCTACTGAACCTAACCTAACCTAACTTTTTCGGCTACCTAACCTAACCTAACCTATAAAGATAGGTTAGGTTAGGTTAGGTAGGGTTGGTTAGGTTCGGTCATATATCTACGTTAATTTTAACTCCAATAATAAAATTGACCTCATTCATAATGAAATGGGTAGCTTTATCATTTCATAAGAAAAAAATTGAGAAAATATATTAATTCTGGAAATCTTGGCTTATTAGGCAAATCGGGCATTGCATAGCAGGCCGAGTACGACGTTCTGGCTACTAGGTACAACATATATATATATATATATATATATATATATATATATATATATATATATATATATATATATATATATATATATATATATATATATAAGGCTTCCTATCCTGACAAACCAAATTGTTATTAATATAAATGAGCAGTGAGCATTTTAAAACTTACAAACTCATTGGTAGTGTTTAAAATAATGTTTGAAATGTGCATAAATCATGAGATATAAATGTACAATTATCTGCCCATCCATCAGTCTGTAAATATTTCCAGTCATTCATTTTGGGTCCACAGTGACGGGACATCACAATGAATAGAGCTGCTGTAAATATTGCAGAGTTGCAAATTATTGTAATTATCGTATTGTAAGTATTGTATTGTAGCTATCGTGTTGGAGTTATGATACTGAAATTATCATACTCAAGTTGTCCTATTGCAATTATGTTATTGTAATAATAATATTAATGGAATTATCTTATCGTAATTATCATATTGAAATTATCGTATTTCAATTAATTTACTAAAATTATCATACTGGTTTTAGCATATCACAATTATCAAATTCTCATTGAAATGGTTTCAGTATAACTATTATGCCTAATGTACAGTTTTTCATTGTAATTCTCATGATAATCAAGCCCAAGATTTATCAAGCATTTATGCAACCTCTTACGAAACCTGTATATCTTTCATCAATCATACCGGCTTTGCTTGTATGTATTAAACAGTTTAAGTGTTTAGAAACTTCACAACACAAGGTTATTATTGTATAAACAACCTCTAAGTGCTGCATAACTCATAAGCTGATTAATAAATGTAAACAAAGCCGCCATCTTTGAGGAAAGATGTTTACGTTTCGTGTTTGTAAACACGTGTGTTTGTAGTGTTTGTATTATTACATTTTTTATTAACATTTTATTAACATTTATTATTAAAATTTATACTAACTGTGTGTGTTAGAATCATGGAATTGGTGATCAAGTAACTGATGCAAATATATTTTAGGTCAAGCTATCATTTTCATCTTGACAAACTGTACACCAAAGAGGTACACAAGTGGTTTACTGTAGTTTACAGTGATACTCAACAGTATACACTACAGTGACCTCCATTGGTATACAGCAATCTACAGTGCCTAATAAATAAAGAAATATTCTCCTCACAAAATGAAAATAAAACACATGAATTACCAAATTATACATCAAGTTTAATATTGTTATAAACTTACAAGAAATGTTGATAACAGCTGGAAGAATCTCTTTAAAGGAAAATGCCATCTTGGTAACATTAAGACATCCGGTTGATTGATAGAAATGGAGTTGTTTGCGGGAAGTTAAGATAAACAGCTGAAGTGTGCTTGTCACCTCAGTGGTTTAACCCACACCTGTATACTGAGGGAGACTTGATTTGATTCTGTTGTTTATATGAAAACCGTTTCTTAAACAAGCAACATGTCATATATATATATATATATATATATATATATATATATATATATATATATATATATATATATATATATATATATACTTTTAACACATGTTAAATCTTGAACAGCAAAATACTCCTCTCATATATTCACTCAAAAGGTCAAAAGAACTTACACATACAATCCTCCTTTACACACCTATATACATTTTATATGCTTACATGTATATATGTATATATGAAGAGTTATACACCAAGTAAGCGTAGGAGCTTAGAGCGATACCTACAGCTTTGTGGGCGGCGGGGGCAAGGAAAGAAGAGAACTGGACCAAGCTTTACGTAATAAACACGATTGGTTTCTCTAAGGTCAGTTCACTCTTTGTTTAAAGATAATAGCTGATGATATGGTGAAGGTCTTGACGTTCCTCTTGACACACTTCTTGACCTTGATCATGACACACTTATCATTTTATGACACTTCTTATCATTTTATGACACACTTCTTATCATTTTATGACACACTTCTTATCATTTTATGACACACTTCTTATCATTTTATGACACACTTCTTATCATTTTATGACACTCTTCCTTGCCTGGTGGTCTGACACACTGAAGGTTAGAATATTCACACTTGTCAACAAAGTCTGCACGTGTTCATAATTTTTGTATTCGATTGCTCAAATTTGTGCAAAAATTTTTTTGGCAACTCAAGTCAGTGTATATTATCACAGTTAGGTCACATTTTTTATAATTAAGTGCATAATACACAGGGGGGCGCCAGCAAACAATGTTAACAAAAATATTTTTGATTCATATAACACAAAAATTTTGTTGCCTGCCGTTGCAAAAAAATAATGTGTTGCTACGTGGTGTTTATCTGTCGTTCTGAGGCGCTGTGTTGTTGTGTTCGCAAGGTTTCCTTGATGTATCTTGTGTGTCAGCTTCATGTTCCAGTGAAGCTTGGATACGTGAAGCTGCTATGTGTCCTTTCGAAGCGTTAGTCGAAGTGATGTCTTCGAAGACACGAGGATTATCCATCGGACTATTAGCCTCAACGGTATCTTTTTGATTCTGAGGAATTGTGGCCCTTTGGTCTGGCTCCTGAGCACTGGGGCCCGTGTCGTGGGGTGGACTGCTGCTATAGCCTGAAGACCCACTGTTCTCTTGCTGCGATGGGACACCGCTGGAGGGACAGAAGGTCTCCTCGATCTCGAACCGGAAGGGCGTCATCTGGAAGGTATCGGGGGGACATGGCTCGTCCGGAACATGGGATTTACTATTGGTGTTTTGCTTCGTCTGCGTCCTGGATGACCGAGGTCTCTGGAGCGTTGCGAAGTGCGTGGGAGTTTGGCGACGACGTCGGGTGCCAAGGGTGCTGTAGCCGGCAGGGCCGCCTCCTAAATGGGTGCCAAATATAAGAAAGGGTTGTTTGATCAAGCCACACACTAGATAGTGAAGTGACGGCAAAACGTTTCGACACAATCAAAACAATGACAATGACACAATCGATTTGAGAATGGTCCAGGACGGAGCGAAACATCCTCGTCTCTTCACTTTCTAGTGTGTGGTTTGGTCAGCATTTTTTCAGCCATGTTATTGTGACTCCTGATCTACGTAAGAAAGGGTTGAAACTAGTGTGTACCTGCAAGATATTCTATACCAAATGTTTACATTAAATGTAAACATTAAATAACACATTTCCAATTATAAATATTTTCAACATTTAGGTATGGAACTAGATAATAATACCGTTACTGACAACTTTAAAAAATAAAGTATAATATTAGAATGATTTTCAAAAAATCAATAGATGATTTCTAATTACTGTGAACGTACAGATATGCTTCGCTTAGCTTTAAGAGTTAATAAATCGAAAAATTATCCGCTAATACCAGAATTTTTTAAAAACATTAATTACATTATGAGATACGTATGAAAGCAAACAATTTCTCACGTCATGTTAACTTACCTTTTGAAAGCGATTGTCTGTAGTCCACGTGATAATTATCTGGTTTGAAAGAGAACAAATCAGTAGGATTTAGGTTGGAGTAAGCTGGGGGCTCAGTCAACGCTTCCGAAGGCAGCTTTTGGAAATTTGCTTGCGGTAGCAACGTCTGTGGCGACTGTTCTTTGGAGGAATGTGATCGTGGTGTCTGTTGGAGTGGAGACTGTGTGTGTGGTTGGGATTTTCGTGAGTGTGTTTGGTGAGAGCGTGTTTGCTTTAGGTGTTGCTGTGAACGTGTTTGCGACTCTGGCGAGCTACGCTGTTTGGGGGACTGTTCGCCCGGATGCAGTTGCTGCGGCTGTGCGTTCGGGTCCGTTTGCTGCTTTATATGGCACGATTGTGAACGCATATGGGTTGGATTTTGCAATGACCGCCTTCGTGGCTGTTGCAGATGTGATGTGAGCTGCAACTCTCGCTCGTGTGATGCTGGAAGCTGATGCTGGCTTTGTGGATGCTGGTGTTCCTCCGGTGATTGTGAATTCTGTGTTCCTTGTTGATTATGCTGTTGCAATGGCTTGTTATTCTGATGTTGCGTTCGTTGTGGGCTATATTTTTGCTCTTCGGACGATTGTGGATTGTACTGCCGTGTTTCCCGCGGGCTGTGGTGTCGTGGTTGTGCATTATTGTGGTATTGTGATATTTGCAAGTTGTGGAGGTGTTGTTGAGGTGTATGCAGGAACAGTTGCTGTGCCTGGGCCAAACGAAGCAGGTGTTGTTGCTGGGAGTGGCGTGGGAGGGCGTGGAGAGTGTCTTGAATCAGCTGCGGCGTCGCCTGCTGCGGCTGCTGAACGCCTCCCAGTGAGGACAATGGACGGAGGAAGCCTTGGGAATAGACGTGGTGGGAGTTGGTGCTGCGGTCGGAGCAGAGAGAGAACTGGTCGTCGGCCGGATAGGTGTCGGAACTCGTCCTCCTCCTCCGAGGGCCATCTGGAGGAACATTGTCGTACACACTCGACCCTAAAGAACACACATCCGGCTCGGTGGGGAAATTGACCAAGTCGTGATCGAAATGCGACGCTTCGGCCTCCGCAGGCGACGCGGTTCTGTTGGACGACGGAGAGTCAGCTTCGACGGGGCGTTGTACAGCTTCATCGCCTGCGTGATGCGGTCTCTCGCCGTTCTGCAGAAGAAAAATGGCCTGTTGAAAAATACTGCTGACGGAGGCCAGTATTTACAAAATAGTATTAGTATGAGGCCAGTACTTTACATTTTGACTACTTATTATACATACTACGAGTATATTTTGAAGGATTTTGACTACTTATTATACATCCCGTTTTACGAGTATATTTTGAAGGATTTTGACTACTTATTATACATCCTGTTTTACGAGTATATTTTGAAGGATTTTGACTACTTATTATGCATCCCGTTTTCTTAATTTGCAGCTCCGTAAGAAATCCACCCTTTTAGGTAATCCTGAAACGGACGAACCTAACCATCCCACCTAACCTATCGAGTCAACAGCATAGGAAAAACGTAGACGTTTGTAAACCGTCAGTATCCTTAACAGGTTCCAATTGAAATATTGGTTATGATAACACCAATAACGTAATCTATTAGTTCAGAAGCTTGGGGCCAGATTCATGAAGCAGTTACGAACCTGTACATCTTTTCTCAATCTTTGGCGGTTTTGTTTACAATTATTAAACAGTTAATGAGCTCCGAAGCACCAGGAGGCTATTTATAACAATAACAACAGTTGATTTGCAAGTTTTCATGCTTGTAAACTGTTTAATAAATGTAACCAAAGCCGTCAAAGATTGAGGAAAGATGTACACGTTCGTAAGTGCTTGCGTAACTGCTTCGTGAAGCTGACCCCCTCGTCTCTAACGACAATAGAGAAGCTAGTCATTGACTACGCTTTTTGTTTCAACGAAAAGTTTAATGTAAACATGTTCATGTCATCTTCATGACAAGAACATGTTTTCATGACATCAAAGGTTCATAGTCGACAGTGACTCCTGACTCGTGTCGTAATGTGAGTTTTATGACAGTGAATATGCAGATGAGAAGTCACAATAGCGTACAACTCCACCAGGGCCGTGACGAGGATTCGAACCTGCGTCCGGGAGCATCCCAGACACTGCCTTAATCGACTGAGTGTCTGGGATGCTCCCGGACGCAGGTTCGAATCCTCGTCACGGCCCTTGTGGATTTGTTCATTTGATGCATCACGTTAGTGTGATCTCTGTGTGTGTCACAATAACGTAGTTGAAATATGTGAAATATATGAAATATGAACTAGACCACACACTCGTCCCTTCACTTTCTAGTGTGTGGTTTGGTCGACAGTGAATATATTACAAGAAAGGACATACTATTATGCATTTAATATTTATAATTATAATTTTAAAATGAATAATACCTTTTTCTAAAAACCTGATTTTGAAATCGGAAAATAAAGAATATTTGAAATAAACTAAATACTAGTTGTCACCTCCAGAGGGCACTACATACAGAATTTTAATGACAAAGTAACATTAAAAAATGATATAAATTTCGATGCACTTTGTAAAGATTAACTGCAATAAAAGAAATACATTTGAAACAAAATGAGTTTATTATGTAACATTCATAATCTATCTATTTTGTAGCGAGACCATTCCATAAACAGATAGACTTGTCAAAGCATTATGAAACCTTTCAGGTAATTGACAATTTTATATTTTTAGAACATCGTAACAAGACATTAACCCGGGAATATATATAATATATATATATATATATATATATATATATATATATATATATATATATATATATATATATATATTACATAATATATATTATATATATAATAACCCGGGAGTGTAAACATAGCTACACTGTGAGACTGGCCACATAATTTTGGTAATTATCAGAAGAAATTACTAATCCAGAATGGCTATATTGCACTCGGAAGGGATATTAGGATATAAAAGTAGCTGGGATACGAGGAAAAGAAACTGGGGTATGAGGACAAGGAGCTGGGATACGAGGAAAAGGAACTGGGGTATGAGGACAAGGAGCTGGGATATTAGGACAAGGAGCTGGGATATTAGGGCAAGGAGCTGGGATATCAGGACAAGGAGCTGGGATATTAGGACAAGGAGCTGGGATATTAGGGCAAGGAGCTGGGATATCAGGACAAGGAGCTGGGATATTAGGACAAGGAGCTGGGATATGAGGACAAGGAGCTGGGATATTAGGACAAGGAGCTGGGATATTAGGACAAGGAGCTGGGATATCAGGACAAGGAGCTGGGATATCAGGACAAGGAGCTGGGATATTAGGACAAGGAACTGGGATATTAGGACAAGGAGCTGGGATATTAGGACAAGGAGCTGGGATATTAGGACAAGGAGCTGGGATATGAGGACAAATAGCTGGGATATCAGGACAAGGAGCTGGGATATTAGGACAAGGAGCTGGGATATGAGGACAAGGAGCTGGGATATTAGGACAAGGAGCGGGGATATTAGGGCAAGGAGCTGGGATATGAGGACAAGGAGCTGGGATATTAGGACAAGGAGCTGGGATATTAGGACAAGGAGCTGGGATATTAGGACAAGGAGCGGGGATATTAGGACAAGGAGCTGGGATATTAGGACAAGTAGCTGGGATATGAGGACAAGGAGCTGGGATATTAGGACAAGGAGCTGGGATATTAGTGGAAAGGAGCTGGGATATTAGGACAAGGAGCTGGGATTTTAGGACAAGGAGCTGGGATATTAGTGGAAAGGAGCTGGGATATGAGGACAAGGAGCTGGGATATTAGGACAAGGAGCTGGGATATTAGGACAAGGAGCTGGGATATTAGGACAAGGAGCTGGGATATTAGTGGAAAGGAGCTGGGATATGAGGACAAGGAGCTGGGATATTAGGACAAGGAGCTGGGATATTAGGACAAGGAGCTGGGATATTAGGACAAGGAGCTGGGATTTTAGGACAAGGAGCTGGGATATTAGGGCAAGGAGCTGGGATATGAGGGCAAGGAGCTGGGATATCAGGACAAGGAGCTGGGATATTAGGACAAGGAGCTGGGATATGAGGGCAAGGAGCTGGGATATCAGGACAAGGAGCTGGGATATTAGGACAAGGAGCTGGGATATTAGGGCAAGGAGCTGGGATATCAGGACAAGGAGCTGGGATATTAGGACAAGGAGCTGGGATATGAGGGCAAGGAGCTGGGATATCAGGACAAGGAGCTGGGATATTAGGACAAGGAGCTGGGATATGAGGGCAAGGAGCTGGGATATCAGGACAAGGAGCTGGGATATTAGGACAAGGAGCTGGGATATTAGGGCAAGAAACTGGAATAAGAGGACAGAGAGATAAGATATGATGACAAGAAACTTAGGAATGAGGACAAGGAGCTGGGATATGAGGACAAAAAACTGGAATATGAAAAAAAGGAGCTGGGATATGATGTCAATGAGTTAGAATATGAGGACAAAAAGCTAGAATAAAAGGACAAAAAGCTGGGACTTGAGGACAATAAGTAGGAATATCAAAGTTTCTTTCACCCTGAATGCCCCTGTTACCTAGCAGTAAATAGGTACCTGGGAGTTAGTCAGCTGTCACGGGCTGCTTCCTGTGGGTGGAGGCCTGGTCGAGGACCGGACCGCGGGGACACTAAAGCCCCGAAATCATCTCAAGATAACCTCAAGATATCATAACAAAAAGCTCAGATATCAAGAAAAAGCACTGGAATCTAAGGACGCTGTGAAGGAATGGTGTCCAACCACTTGACCATCGAGGATCGAACAACGACCATGCAAGAAGCTCTTACTGTATCGACCAGACCAAGCAGGTGACAGTGTAATCCCCCAAGCAGAAACACAGTATCACTTCAAGAGAAATCAGTAAATACACAATCAAATCACAACAGCTTAACATATCAAAAATCCTGATCCAGTGGGTAAAGATACGCGTCTAGGGAATCCCAGAACGCTGGTTCGATCTCCATTCTACTCAAATGATTTTCGCACAGATCAGTAAACATTATTATAGGAAAGCTGATAATTGTCTAGTTAAACTCGTGTCCTGAAGCCGCGCCGTCAGGCAGCCAATCACAGAGATCACGTTCAGTGATAATTCACCTTAAATCAACTCTGTAACCCGTAACTAAAGGAATAAAAACAGATCACTTTCGACGTTAGTGCATCAAATATTATGTGTGTTATAAAATGGTTTTTAGGTTAGAATGTGTGTTATAAAATGGTTTTTAGGTTAGAATGTGTGTTATAAAAGGGATTTTAGGTTAGTATGTGTGTTATAAAATGGTTTTTAGGTTAGAATGTGTGTTATAAAAGGGATTTTAGGTTAGTATGTGTGTTATAAAATGGTTTTTAGGTTAGAATGTGTGTTATAAAAGGGATTTTAGGTTAGTATGTGTGCAATAAAATGGATTTTATGTTAGTATGTGTGTTATAAAATGGATTTTAGGTTAGTATGTGGGCTATAAAATGGATTTTATGTTAGTATGTGTGCAATATAATGGATTTTATGTTAGTATGTGTGTTATAAAATGGATTTTAGGTTAGTATGTGTGCAATAAAATGGATTTTAGGTTAGTATGTGTGCTATAAAATGGATTTTAGGTTAGTATGTGTGATATAATATGTATTTTATGTTAGTATGGGCATTAAAATATGTAATTTTAGTTAGCACATGCGATAAATATGTATTTTATGCTAGCATATGTGTTATAACTTACCTATAGAACGTCGACAGCTTGAAGTTGGTGAGCGAGGACCGTACCTGATACACTGATAAGAAATAAGATACATATCTGGTATTATGTGAGTGATTAACCTACCTGATACTCTCATGGTGAGTGATTAACCTACCTGATACTCTGAGGGTGAGTGATTAACCTACCTGATACTCTGAGGGTGAGTGATTAACCTACCTGATACTCTGAGGGTGAGTGATTAACCTACCTGATACTTTGAGGGGTGAGAGGGACATTCCTGATACTCTGAGGGTGAGAGATTAACCTACCTGATACTCTGAGGGTGAGTGATTAACCTACCTGATACTCTGAGGGTGAGTGATTAACCTACCTGATACTCTGAGGGTGAGTGATTAACCTACCTGATACTTTGAGGGGTGAGGGGGACATTCCTGATACTCTGAGGGTGAGTGATTAACCTACCTGATACTCTGAGGGTGAGAGAGAAGGGTCGTTGGAGGACATGGTATTGAGGGAGAGGAAGACTTCGCTAGGGTGGACGCCCGGAGTAGAAGCTGGTGTGACTCCGAAGGTCCCCAGTGAAGCCGTCTTGGATGAGGACGCCCCTGCGAGGGTAGATGAGAGACATTGTTATTTTGAGGGGATTTCGGGGCTTAGCGTTCCCGCGGCCCGGTCCTCGACTAAACCTTCTTGTGGTGAGACATTCTGTGTATCTCTGCAGCTGCTAATAGTTTTTATGTTGATGCTAATGAATAGTCTCTCTCATTCTCTCTAGAGAATGAGAGAGATAGACAGACATATACACACTCATGGGGCGCTGGTAGCTGAGTGGACAGCACGTTGGATGCGTAGTCCTGGGGATCGGGGTTCGATTCCCGGCGCTAGAGGAAACAGATGGGCAGAGTTTCTTTCACCTTAATGCCTCTGTTATCTAGCAATAAATAGGTACCTGGGAGTTAGTCAGCTGTCACGGGCTGCTTCCAGGGGGTGGAGACCGGGCCGTGGGGACACTAAAACCCCGAAATCAACTCAAGATAACCTCAAATGAGGATCTATCACAATGGAACAAGAAACAGACAGTAACTTGTATCACACATTCAAGATCCCAAACAATAATTTTTTTTTTATTTTTACAATTTAAACAATTCAATTCAATTTACAAATTTTTTTTACATACATTAAATACCACTTACAATTTACAATTCAAACAATTTAGTTTTGTTTTAAATTTACCTAAGGGCCACCAGCCTTCAAAATATATCACCAAACATTGTAATCAAAACAGCAGAGAACAAACGTATTACGAACGTAATCCTAAACTATATCACAGGGATATGGTGGAGCTTTTTTTGAATGCCATTCATCACATTGTTCCAAACACTAAAATGTCAACAAATAGTCAATGTAATGTCAATGGCAAAGATGTTATGGTGGCAGATATTTTATATTTTATTAGTTTTGTAGGGGACATGAAGCTCTTATACATATATATATTTGGTCGAAATACCATGATAGTGAAGGTCCACCAGAATGTTGACTTCAGCATTAATGAATTCAGACTAAAAAGAAACTTGTCTAACCGTAATGTAAATACAGAACCTAACGTCTCTTAACAATCCTAGGCCTAATGCACACTATCTTGCAGGTGAGGAGTCACAATAACGTGGCTGAAGTATATTGACCAATCCACACAATAGAAAGTGAAGGGACGAAAATGAAGACACAATCGACTTGAGAATGGTCCAGGACGGACCGAAACGTCGTCGTCCCTTCATTTTCAAGTGTGTGGATTAGTCAACACACTATCTTAGCCCCCTAATATATCACATATATGCTATACCAGGCCTTACAATGTTCAAGCTTGCTATAGTTTATATATGTACCCCAGGTAATATACGTACAAATAGTTAATATTTCAATCCAACAGGATTCTTTTCGGGTTCTCAGATTTTCTGAGAATTCGAAAACGGACTTACCAGAAGGGTGCCTGTTCATAGCCCTTCGTCTGACGAAACAAGCGATGATGGAGATGTTGAGGGCTAGGAGAGCCGCGCCCGTGAGGGTCATAATAAGGAGGATGAGACGAGGCACCCTGGAACCACCATCCTCATCCCTATCCTCGTCACTGAGATTGTCAGCGCCTTCGGCAGGTTTGGCCGCTAAGGTCCCCGTCGGCAGCTTGCTAGTGGCGCCTGCCAGGCCTTGGAGACTAGTCGGACCGTCGGTTTTTCCTGAGCACCAGAGGGAGAATAGATCAATTTGTCGTAATTACTTTTTAGGGAAAATAGATCTGATATTGCTTGTTGCTGTCCTATAGTTGGGTAATTTATTGAGCTGGCAATTGCAGCGATATTTATTTCATCTTCTATAAAATACTTTATTCTAAATAATTCACTTTGTCGTGTACAGGACAGGATTTATGAGATTTATAAATTAAAAATATATATATATAAAGGTAGGGTCCAAGAGCTATTAGGTCGATTCTGCAGACGCCAATAGTAAATACACACACACACACACACACACACACACACACACACACACACACACACACACACACACACACACACACACACACACACACACACACACACACACACACACACACACACACACACACACACACACACACACACACACACACACACACACACACACACACACACACACACACACACACACACACACACACACACACTCACACACTCACACACACACACACACACACACACACACACACACACACACACACACACACACACACACACACACTCACACACACACACACACACACACACACACACACACACACACACTCACTAGGACACTGCGTCTTTAACCTAAACATTGTTATTCAACCCTTAGTCGCTTGTGTCACTTTCCTGTCAGTAAAAAAAGAGGGAGAAAGCTTCCTCTTATTAAAGACCTACCACCATGACCTGTTTTCTAGTTAGTCTTTAATAGAGGTGGTTTCTAAATAGGTGAATCATGCTGTGGATCATTTATTTTCAACTCTCTAATCTCTCTGTCTCTGTCTCTGTCTCTCTCTCTCTCTCTCTCTCTCTCTCTCTCTCTCTCTCTCTCTCTCTCTCTCTCTCTCTCTCTCTCTCTCTCTCTCTCTCTCTCTCTCTCTCTCTCTCTCTCTCACTCTCACTTGATCCACTGGAAAACCCTAAGGCACTCTCGACCAATATTACAATCTCAGCCATACTGATAATCAGTGACTGGGCATCACTGCACTCAGTATTACAGTCCAATCAGACACTCCCAATCCATGCATTTCATCACTTGAAGTTTCTCATTTTGCTCACTGTGATGGAGATTACAAAATTAATGCCTGTCTGTTGGTTTGGTAGGAAATTTGATTTGATTTGAGTGATATGATACCGAAAAGCTGTGAAGGTGAATCCCCAAAACTCCATGATGATCTTACTCATCAAATATCATCAGAGTGAGTGTATGAGTCATCAGATACCACGAGGGGTAAGTGCTACTCATCAGGAGCTATGATAAATGTGTTATTCATCTTGAAGATGGTGACCCACCAGGAGTGTAGTGACCCACCAGGAGGGTGATAGAGACTCACCAAGAGTGTAGTGACCCAGTAGGAATGTGGTGACTAACCAGGAGTATAGTGACCCACCAGGAGGGTGATAGTGACTCACCAGGAGTGTAGTGACCCGCCAAGAGGGTGATAGTGACTCACCAGGAGTGTAGTGACCCACCAGGAGTGTAGTGACTCACCAGGAGGGTGATAGTGACTCACCAGGAGTGTAGTGACTCACCAGGAGGGTGATAGTGACTCACCAGGAGTATAGTGACCCACCAGGAGGGTGATAGTGACTCACCAGGAGTGTAGTGACCCACCAGGAGGGTGATAGTGACTCACCAGGAGTATAGTGACCAACCAGGAGGGTGATAGTGACTCACCAGGAGTGTAGTGACCCACCAGGAGGGTGATAGTGACTCACCAGGAGTGTAGTGACCCACCAGCAGGGTGATAGTGACTCACCAGGAGTGTAGTGACCCACCAGCAGGGTGATAGTGACTCACCAGGAGTGTAGTGACCCACCAGGAGGGTGATAGTGACTCACCAGGAGTGTAGTGACCCACCAGGAGGGTGATAGAGACTCACCAGGAGTGTAGTGACCCACCAGGATGGTGATAGTGACTCACCAGGAGTGTAGTGACCCACCAGCAGGGTGATAGTGACTCACCAAGCAAAGTGAAGAAGGAGAGGGACACGAAGTGGGATCTGCCGTGGTCGTTGGTGGCCTGAATGGCGGCTGTGTACTCCGTAGCCGGTGCCAGTCCCGTCACCCTGGCCGTCGTCGTCCCTCCTCCAGACACCTCCACGTACTGCGTCAAGAAGACCACATTAACACCTCCACGTACTGCGTCAAGAAGACCCCATTAACACCTCCACGTACTGCGTCAAGAAGACCACATTAACACCTCCACGTACTGCGTCAAGAAGACCACATTAACACCTCCACTTACTGCGTCAAGAAGACCACATTAACACCTCCACTTACTGCGTCAAGAAGACCACATTAGCACCTCAAAATACTCCCATTTAAGCGTTGGGAACGAGGAACCAAAACGGAATCAAATATTTTAAGACATCATAGAAGTACACAATTACACTTACTTGATACACAGAAGACCCGGCTGGCCTATACCTCAGGGTGTAGCCGCTAGGGGCGCCGCCCTCAAGGTTAGGTGCCCATGACACCCACACCTCCCCTCCTACCATCTTGTTTATCTGGTGGAGGAAGGGTAGGTGTTAGTGTACTGGAGAGAAAGAGAAAAGAGCCTAAACTCCATTATTCAATCTTTCTATCACTTATATTAACGTCTAAAACCCTGTCTAAGACACTGACGGTAAAGTTGACAGGTGGGTGTGGGCGTGAGGGCGGGTTGAGGGCCACTACCACCGAGTCGGAGCCGTGGGCGTTGTGGGCGTGACACCGGTAGAGGGTGTAGTCCTGTGTGTTAATGTTTTTCACCTCCAACACAGACGACCATAGCACCAACCCGTCCACCAGCTGCAAGGGGAAAGAGTGCACACAGAGTGACAGTGCACTCAGATTTAGTGCACATGATGATAGATTGAGTGCATATGATGATAGATTGAGTGCATATGATGATAGTCCACACAACGTCCACAATATTTTTCATACAAAGTTACAAGATAACGATAAGATGGAAATATGTAATGCTTCAACATTCGGTCGTGTTGACGAAAGACAACAGATTGTTGAATAATTAAAGAGATATGTTGGTATATGTGGAAGAATATTACGAGCATATAATAGTCTAGTTTGAAATCAGGTTGTAATTAGAAACAGCTGGGAGAATGTGGAGTTTCATTTCCTCTATGTTAAAATTTGCATATGCAGACGAAAAGTCACAATAACTTGACTGAACATTTGACTTTCAACCCACACATCTGAAAGTAAACAAAAAATGCTTGTTTAGTGTGTCAAGTGTTCGGAGAGAGGGCTAAGTATGATCCACTTTCAGCCAAAAGGCAGAGTTAGAAATTTAGTGATTAGGTAGTCAACTAATTTGGTTTTGTCTCCTCTGCAAATGGGAAACGGAAAGCGAAGATTTGGTCTTACAAATACTACTCTGGAGAAGTAGGTAGGAAGGCCATTGGGTCTCACTAATCACCTTTCCAAGACCTGTTACAAGGGAAAACGTTTCTACTGCTGCCATGTTGACCAGACCAGGATATGAAGAGAAGACGACGTTTCGGTCCGTCCTGGACCACTTTTATCAAGTCGAATGTGTGATAATGGTCCAATTATCACACAATCGACTTGAGAATGGTCCAGGACGGACCGAAACGTCGTCGTCGTCCCTTCACCTTGTAGTGTGTGGTCTGGTCAACATTCTTCATCCACGTTATTGTGACTCCTCGTCTGTATAATCCTGTCTTCACTACTCACAGGATTCACCAGTCACTATAAGACTCACCTGAGGCTCGTGGATAGTGTATTTGTCACTATTGAGGAGGATGAGTCCACTCTGGCTACTCCAGACGAATGTGGGCGGAGGGGCGGCCCTTACGTGACACACCAGCCGCCCAATCCCGCCCACAGCCGCCCACGATCCTCGCAATCCTTGGACATCAGTGGCTGCTGTCACCTTCTCTAGGAGCGGAGAAGATCCTTAACTACAGACTGGAAATTCCACTTTGATAGGTTCCAAGATGACGATCTTTAACTACAATTCCTTCTTACTGTAATAACTCTTTCTAATTTGAAATTATATGCTGCTATGAGCATTCCTGTCAGCATTTCTCGTATATGTACGTATATATATATATATATATATATATATATATATATATATATATATATATATATATATATATATATATATATATATATATATATATATATACATATATATATATATATATATATATATATATATATATATATATATATATATATATATATACATATATATATATATATATATATATATATATATATATATATATATATATATATATATATATGTCGTACCTAGTAGCTAGAACGCACTTCTTTGCCTACTATGCAAGGCCCGTTTTGCCTAATAAGCCAAGTTTTCATGAATTAATTGTTTTTCGACTACCTAACCTACCTAACCTAACCTAACCTAACTTTTTTGGCTACCTAACCTAACCTAACCTTTGAAGATAGGTTAGGTTAGGTTTGGTAGGGTTGGTTAGGTTTGGTCATATATCTACGTTAATTTTAACTCCAATAAAAAAAAATTAACCTCATACATAATGAAATGTGTAGCTATATCATTTCATAAGAAAAAAATTAGAGAAAATATATTAATTCAAGAAAACTTGGCTTATTAGGCAAATTGGGCCTTGCATAGTAGGCTGAGAAGTGCGTTCTGGCTACTAGGTACGACATATATATATATATATATGTCGTACCTAGTAGCCAGAACGCACTTCTCAGCCTACTATGCAAGGCCCGATTTGTCTAATAAGCCAAGTTTTCCTGAATTAATATATTTTCTCTAATTTTTTTCTTATGAAATGATAAAGCTACCCATTTCATTATGTATGAGGTCATTTTTTTTTTATTGGAGTTAAAATTAACGTAGATATATGACCGAACCTAACCAACCCTACCTAACCTAACCTAACCTATCTTTATAGGTTAGGTTAGGTTAAGTAGCCGAAAAAGTTAGGTTAGGTTAGGTTAGGTAGGTTAGGTAGTCGAAAAAACATTAATTCATGAAAACTTGGCTTATTAGGCAAATCGCGCCTTGCATAGTAGGCTGAGAAGTGCGTTCTGGCTACTAGGTACGACATATATATATATATATATATATATATATATATATATATATATATATATATATATATATATATATATATACGTACATATAGATTAATAATTCTAACACGAATTTTCTCGATCTTTCTTATGTTTCTTTTCACTGTTAATGGTAATTGAAAAATCAATTCTCCAAAATTCATTTTTTATTTTTAGCAGCATTTAATTGACTAGAAATAAAAAATGAATTTTGGAGAATTGATTTTTCAATTACCATCAACAGTGAAAAGAAACATAAGAAAGATCGAGAAAATTCGTGTTAGAATTATTAATCTTACTTTTTCGGTCATATTTAATAATATATATATATATATATATATATATATATATATATATATATATATATATATATATATTGGCACTCACCCAAGACTTTAAACCCCCTCTGAAGCACCAAGATGAGCCCTCAAGGGCCTACCACCCCCTTAAAAAACTTAGTTTTAAGTTCCACTCAAAAGTCAAGTGAGCATACGATTGTTATAATTTTTGATAGTCACTTTAAAACAGTGTTGACCAACCACTTGGGTTGGACGGTAGAGCGACGGTCTCGCTTCCTACAGGTCATCGTTTAATCCCCGACCGTCCACAAGTGGTTGGGGCACCATTCCTTTCCCCCGTCCCAACCCAATACCTTATCCTGACCCCTTCCCAGTGCTATATAGTCGTAATGGCTTGGCGCTTTCCCACTAATAGTTCCCATCCCTTCAAACAGCGTCATTGCAATGATAACGATGGGAAAGAACCATTAATTAAACACTTTATTAAAGATTAAATAATTACACAATGATAAGGATCATCAACATTAATAAATCGAGACTTAATTGCCTTGTTTAATCACATGGTAGTTCCTCGACAATCTTCAAGATTATGTACATATTATATGTATGGGGAGCACATGGATTGATGTAAAATACATATTTACCTGAGTTTTACCTGAGGGTCATTAATACTAGTTGCCTCGATGGGGACAGGAAGCAAGCGGCTTGTCAAAAATCCCCCTTAGGCCGTTTAACTAGAAAACAAATGCCGTGGACTCATCGTTAATCTCTTAATCGCATTTATAAGCTTAACGAGGACTATCATGTATCATGAAGTAAGACTTTACGTGAGTGAATCATGAATTTAGACTTTCTATGTGTGAATCATGCCCTAAGACTTTATGTGATTGAATCATGCACTAAGACTTTATGTGAGTGAATCATGCCCTAAGACTTTATGAGTGTAAATCATGCACTAAGACTTTATGTGAGTGAATCATGCCCTAAGACTTTATGTGAGTGAATCATACACTACGACTTTATGTGAGTGAATCATACACTAAGACTTTATGTGAGTGAATCATGCACTAAGACTTTATGTGAGTGAATCATGCCCTAAGACTTTATGTGAGTGAATCATACACTACGACTTTATGTGAGTGAATCATACACTAAGACTTTATGTGAGTGAATCATACACTACGACTTTATGTGAGTGAATCATGCACTAAGACTTTATGTGAGTGAATCATACACTAAGACTTTATGTGAGTGAATCATGCCCTAAGACTTTATGTGAGTGAATCATGCCCTAAGACTTTATGTGAGTGAATCATGCACTAAGACTTCATGTGAGTGAATCATGCCCTAAGACTTTATGTGAGTGAATCATGCACTAAGACTTCATGTGAGTGAATCATGCCCTAAGACTTTATGTGAGTGAATCATGCACTAAGACTTCATGTGAGTGAATCATGCCCTAAGACTTTATGTGATTGAATCATGCACTAAGACTTTATGTGAGTGAATCATGCACTAAGACTTTATGTGAGTGAATCATGCCCTAAGACTTTATGTGAGTGAATCATGCCCTAAGACTTTATGTGAGTGAATAAAGCTACTCTTACTGAAGTAGTGAAGACCTAATGTAATATCCACGTCCACGTGAAAACTGTACTTTATAGTATAAGTACTCACACGTCCCCACCAAGTGTTCTACCACCACTACCACGTGTTCTACCACCACTACCCCGTGTTCTACCACCACTACCACGTGTTCTACCACCACTACCACGTGTTCTACCACCACTACCACGTGTTTTACCACCACTACCACGTGATCTACCACCACTACCACGTGCTCTACCACCACTACCACGTGTTCCACCACCACTACCACGTGCTCTACCACCACTACCACGTGTTCTACCACCACTACCACGTATTCTACCACCACTATCACGTGCTCTACCACCACTACGTGCTACCACGTGCACCACAACACCCTCAGTACTCACGGGCCACCACCACGTAAGTCCTGGTAGGGGGCGCTGACCCCACGACGTTACGGGCGTGACACAGATACACGCCCGTGTCCGCCCGTCTCGCTGACTCCATCACCAGCCTCGCCACGCCCACGCCCGAGGCCAGGGGCGCCCCAGAACTGAGGACGAAACAGTTTTGGCAACAATAATTACTCTGAAAATCCCACTTTAGAGTTGAAGTGCATAGGGGAGACTCACCTGAACCAGGTGAGCCAGATAAGGTGTTAGACTAACCTGTTGTGGGTGTTGCTTGGTTCTCTGGTCCATGTGAGATGTGGAACAGGGTTACCACTGGCAGAACACTGGATGCTCACCCTTCCATTCTCTTCCACACTCACGCGATCACTCGATTCCACCTTTTCCGGTCCGTCTGAAGCAGAAACAAAGCAAGGAGGTATTGAAGTCTGAAACAGGACCAAAATAAGCAGGTATTGAAGTCTGAAACCGAACCAAAATAAGCAGGTATTGAAGTCTGAAACCGAACCAAAATAAGCAGGTATTGAAGTCTGAAACCGAACCAAAATAAGCAGGTATTGAAGTCTGAAACCGAACCAAAATAAGCAGGTATTGAAGTCTTAATCAGAATCAAAACAAAGAGGTATTGAAGTCTGAAACAGGACCAAAACAAACAGGTATTCAAGTCTTAATCTGAACCAAAACAAACAGGTATTCAAGTCTTAATCAGAATCAAAAAACCAAGTCTTGCAGGAATTAGCAAGATTTAAGAAAGAAATAATTGCATTGATAATTGGCAAAGACTTTACAGCAATGGAAGGTGCTAGTAAGCTCATGACAGAGATAGTTGCATAGTGATTGAATGATCAATTTCTAAGGGTTGAATTAATCATTGAATGATAAAAAGTGTTTGAGGGTTGAATAGATAGTTGCTATTGGATTGAAGGGAACGTCAGTTGCTATCGATTGAAGGAGAGGACTGTTTCTATTGGACTGAAGTAGAGGATAGTTGCTATTGGATTTAAAGAAACGGAAAATCTAATTGAAAGAAACTATAGTTTCTACTGGATTGAAAGAAGATATAGGTGCAATTAGATATACAGAAAAGTGAGCTGCTATCGGAATAGATTGTAATAGATATCATTGAGTTTGAGAGGAGATATCACACTAACCCGGTACTCACAATAACCGGTACTCACAGTTCTCACACTAACACGGTACTCACATTGGACATTGAGATAAAAAGAAGCATTAACTGCTCCTCGCTGGCTATAGGCGCTGACGGAGTAATGGCCGGTATTATGACGGCTAATTCTGCCGAGTTGTAACTCCTGGCCCGTCCCCATTAGCGTCTCCTCACCGCGTCGCCACCAGTATCTGTAACCCCATGTGGTTCAAAGGCATTAGTTCCATCTGAGTTGGTCAGACCACACACTAGAAGGTGAAGGGACGACGACGTTTCGGTCCGTCCTGGACCATTCTCAAGTCGATTCTCACAATCGACTTGAGAATGGTCCAGGACGGACCGAAACGTCGTCGTCAATTCACCTTCTAGTGTGTGGTCTGGTCAACTTACTTTAGCCACGTTATTGTGACTCATCGCTTTCATCTGGGTGTTACTTGGGGCACGTGTACCCATAATGCCTCTAGTGCTTGGCACTATTTCCACCCGAGAGAGTGAGAGAGAGTGAGAGAGAGAGAGAGAGAGTGTGTGAGAGAGACAGAGAGAGTGTGTGTGAGAGAGAGAGTGGGAGAAAGAGAGAGAAATATTAACACAGAGCCAGACACAGATAAAGATATAGACAGAAACATTTGTCAGAAACAGACAGACAGACAGATACAAAAGACAGAGACTCAGAATAAAAAACAGAGGGGAACTATTAGAGAAAGCGCCAAGCCATTACGACTATATAGCACTTGGAAGGGGTCAGGATAGGAACTTGGAATGGGACAGGGGAAAGAAATGGTCCCCAACCACTTGTGGAACAGTCGGGGATTGAACACCGACCTGCATGAAGCGAGACCGTCACTCTACCATCCATAAAAACAGTCAGATAGAGAAAGATACAGACATACAGAACACAACCTGCTTCAAACCTTAACCCCATGTTAAATTATGATTAATTTATTTTAGAAAGCTCCCGCGAGGGTAAACAATATCTCCGTCGTTTAATAAGATGCCGCAAAATACACCATAAAACAACACACCGTGAAGTATACTTTATACACAAGGGCGGTTGTATAATGGCCTCCTGTCAGATATTTCAGACGCGTGCTAACCATTTTTCCGGATGCCTCAGGGGGGTGGAATGGGTTGTACCACAGCAACCACACTACCAACTCCTTGTTCATGTGTGGTAGTGTGGTTGGTCACGCCACACCATGTGGTTCAGGGGTGTTGGGTTGATGGAGGTGCCGGAAAACTCACATTAAGTTAGACTCCTGGGTGTGATGTCGGTATGTATGAGACCTAATTGGTTCAGGAACATCAGTAAATTGAGAGACGAGATCAAGTACATGTTGGTGAGTGCGAGAAGGTGAGCACGCACGCACGCACGCACGCACACACACACACACACACACACACACACACACACACACACACACACACACACACACACACACACACACATAAGAACTGCCTTCAGAAACTTGTGTAAGGAATCTTTCAGAACCCTGTATACCACTTATGTAAGACCAATCCTGGAGTATGCAGCTCCAGCCTGGAGTCCATACCTAGTTAAACACAAGACAAAGTTAGAGAAGATTCAGCGGTATGCCACCAGGCTCGTCCCGGAACTGAGAGGATTGAGCTACGAGGAAAGGCTAAAGGAGCTGAACCTCACATCCCTGGAAAACAGAAGAGTAAGGGGAGACATGATAACCACCTACAAAATTCTCAGGGGAATTGACAGGGTGGACAAAGACAAACTCTTCAGCACGGGTGGGACACGAACAAGGGGACACAGGTGGAAACTTAGTACCCAGATGAGCCACAGAGACGTTAGAAAGAATTTTTTCAGTGTCAGAGTAGTTAATAAATGGAATGCACTAGGAAGTGATGTGGTGGAGGCTGACTCCATACACAGTTTCAAATGTAGATATGATAGAGCCCAGTAGGCTCAGGAATCTGTACACCAGTTGATTGACAGTTGAGAGGCGGGACCAAAGAGCCAAAGCTCAACCCCCGCAAGCACAATTAGGTGAGTACTGGTGGGACGCGAACAAGGGGACACAGGTGGAAACTGAGTACCCACATGAGCCACAGAAACGTTAGAAGGAACTTTTTCAGTGTCAGAGTAGTTAACGGATGGAATGCACTAGGCAGTGATGTGGTGGAGGCTGACTCCATACACAGTTTTAAATGTAGATATGATAGAGCCCAGTAGGCTCAGGAATTTGTACACCAGTTGATTGACAGTTGAGAGGCGGGACCAAAGAGCCAAAGCTCAACCCCCGCAAGCACAAATAGGTGAGTACAAATAGGTGAGTACACACACACACACACACACACACACACACACACACACACACACACACACTCAGAGTAGTTGACAGATGGAATGCATTAGGCAGTGATGTGGTGGAGGCTGACTCCATACACAGCTTCAAGTGTAGATATGATAGAGCCCAATAGGCTCAGGAACCTGTACACCAGTTGATTGACAGTTGAGAGACGGGACCAAAGAGCCAGAGCTCAACCCCCGCAAGCATAAATAGGTGACTACAGATGAGTAGGTGAGTACAGATGAGCGGACAGCTACCAGATCTCCCAAATAATTCACACAAATAACATATTTCGAACTTTTCTTAAACAGCACATCACTTGAGACCTCTGTTCGAACCACAACCCTATAAACGCTTCTCTCACGTACTACAAATACGTGAAAATATTTCTAGCACGTAAAATCATTATTTAGTAAATGACGATTCACTTCACCACGCCAACATCCGGCATAAATGGAAACCGCTTAGCATCAGCGTCTCACGAGATGAAAAGACGAGATCTTGCACGTCTTACATGGAGGAATATTGAAACGATCTTCGGTATTAGACCTCAGGAACGAGATCAAATTATATGTACTTAGGATAATTCCATTGCAGGGCGGGTGATTTGAAATACATTATCTGCTTCGGTAATGTATTCTAAATACAAGTGTGTGTGAAACTGGGAGCGAGTGGGAGAGAGAGAGAGAGAGAGAGAGAGAGAGAGAGAGAGAGAGAGAGAGAGAGAGAGAGAGAGAGACAGACAGACAGACAGACAGACAGACAGACAGACAGAAAGAGAGAGAGAGAGAGAGAGAGAGAGAGAGAGAGAGAGAGAGAGAGAGAGAGAGAAAGAGAGATGGAGAGAGAGGAGGAAGGGAGCTATCAGAGGAAAGGGTCAAGCCATTACGACTTTATATCACTTGGAAGAGATTAGGATAAGGATTTGGGATGGGATGGGGGTCTGAGAGAGAGAGAGAGAGAGAGACCGAGGACACGCCACAATATCATACCACCAACTCAGACAATATCACAACAGTTTCAGTTACACAGATAACTTTAGATCAGAACTAAGACAAATAAGTAACACAGCTGCCAGCAACTCAAGTAACAATGTAGAGTGTGCTCTGATGACGCCACATGCACGGAACGCCCGCGGCCTCGCTACTTACACCCTTACAATCAACCAAAATCATTTTGAAGTCACTGAGTGACTCGAACTCCAGACCTGATAAATCCCAGATACCTGACTTAACCGACTAGGCCACGGTGGGTCTTACTACGTCCTCTAGAACATTCTAAAGCCCTTAAACCTGAGCCCAACCACGTTCGGCTCAGACTTGGGGTTTAACCATCAACCCAACCACACTCCAGCCTACATAATGGCATCATATTCCTTCACCTATCGTCAGGTCGCCCTGATATCACAATGAAAACACGGTGGAAATCTGATTCTTCCCGACCTCTATAATATTTGCCAACGTTATCCAAATATGGAGTTGATAGCGTTAATAGATTATCGGTTATCGTGTTGGTTGTATTTAATATGGAAATGAGGAGACGAGAGCGATTCTCTTAGTGGTTTTATTAATATTTTATGGGGCTGGTCTGAATGTGAGTTTTATCTTTAATGAGTTGGTTAATATGCTTATCATCCCGTTTTATCTCTCTCTCTCTCTCTCTCTCTCTCTCTCTCTCTCTCTCTCTCTCTCTCTCTCTCTCTCTCTCTCTCTCTCTCTCTCTCTCTCTCTCTCTCTCTCTCAGATTGTCCCAGGAGGAAGACAAGGAGTCACATGAGGAAACATAAAGTTACAAGGAGACATAACTGGTCATTAAGAGGTCACCAGAGGTCACCAAAGGTCACCAAAGGTCACCAGAGGTCACTAGAGGTCACACAATACCTTAGAGGTCCGGGGTTGGCAGCAGCTGAGGCAGACACTATCAGGTCAGCGCCCTCGTACACGTCGACCTCTGGCGGCGGCCGCGACAACCACACAGGAGGGTCTGTTGACAAAGAGGGCCATGATAGTGCTAAACTGCCCCTGTGGGAGGCATGATAGTGCCATACTGCTCCTGGGGATGGGGGGAGTATAGCACTATTCAGATCACCGTCATCTGAAGGTTATGCTCCTTTGGATGATTCAGCAACAGCCGATAAGACAGGTTACAAGAGACTAGTTTTGTTTACCATGTTTAGGGTCAAGACTGGCTAGTAGGCACTAGTATCATTCACCATATTTGGGGTCAAGACTGGCTAGTAGGCACTAGTATCAGTCACCATATTTGGGGTCAAGGCTGGCTAGTAGGCACTAGTATCAGTCACCATATGCTTTGGGGTCAATGTTTTGGGGCTGGCTAGTAGGCACTAGTATCATTCACCATATTTGTGGTCAAGGCTGGCTAGTAGGCACTAGTATCAGTCACCATGTTGGGGTCAAAACTGGCTAGTAGGCACTAGTATCAGTCACCATCAAAACTGGCTAGTAGGCACCAGTCACCATATTTGGGGTCAAGGCTGGCTAGTAGGCACTAGTATCAGTCACCATGTTTGTGGTCAAGGCTGGCTAGTAGGCACTAGTATCAGTCACCATGTTTGGGGTCAAAACTGGCTAGTAGGCACTAGTATCGGTCACCATATTTGGGGTCAAGGCTGGCTAGTAGGCACTAGTATCATTCACCATATTTGGGGTCAAGGCTGGCTAGTAGGCACTAGTATCGGTCACCATATTTGGGGTCAAGGCTGGCTAGTAGGCACTAGTATCGGTCACCATATTTGGGGTCAAGGCTGGCTAGTAGGCACTAGTATCAGTCACCATATTTGGTGTCAAGGCTGGCTAGTAGGCACTAGTATCAGTCACCATATTTGGGGTCAAGGCTGGCTAGTAGGCACTAGTATCATTCACCATATTTGGGGTCAGTATCATTCACCATGTTTGGTGTCAAGGCTGGCTAGTAGGCACTAGTATCAGTCACCATGTTTAGGGTCAAGGCTGGCTAGTAGGCACTAGTATCATTCACCATATTTGGGGTCAAGGCTGGCTAGTAGGCACTAGTATCAGTCACCATATTTGGGGTCAATGCTGGCTAGTAGGCACTAGTATCATTCACCATATTTGGGGTCAAGGCTGGCTAGTAGGCACTAGTATCATTCACCATATTTGGGGTCAAGGCTGGCTAGTAGGCACTAGTATCAGTCACCATGTTTGGGGTCAAAACTGGCTAGTAGGCACTAGTATCAGTCACCATGTTTAGGGTCAAGGCTGGCTAGTAGGCACTAGTATCGGTCACCATATTTGGGGTCAAGGCTGGCTAGTAGAACTTAGTAAAAGAACACATTAATTGATGGTAATGAACTTTCAGATGATCAATAGATATAAGAAAACTTTTCATCAAAATCACACCTTACGACTATAGTTAAAAAAAAAGTACTTTAAACTTGAGTCCATAATCATTGTGACTTGTAACTGGAGAGGTGGGACCCAAGAGCAGTAGCTCAACATAAGTGCCACATTCAAAGAATCACACTTGCAGTGTGAGGCTGGGTGGGGTTGCAACGCTATTCCATCTCTTACAATACCGAGGAATGCAAATTGGGTAAGTTTAGGTTCGGAAAAGCCCTGGGTAAATACTGGTATGGGAATATGGTTGTGGGTTTATGCATTACTTTACCGGGTAACGTAATAGATGTGGGATCGCTGCATTGTTTCAAGCTTTGGTTAGACATGAATGAATGTATGAATGAGTGAATGAGCTTTTGTGTTTTAATGCTTCTGTGTCTCAACATCAACACACTATTGATGGCAAAGACTCTTCATATTCATCATAAGAATCATCCTACCTCATTATCATGTTAGTATGCGCTGTATTCATACCATTACTCTGTGAATTATCGTGTAATGGCACCTGGGAATATATTTTCCCATTCATTATTCACGATAAATACTTTAAAGTGAAATTCTGTTTTGAAACTGAATCATCTCGTTTTCTCTCTCCAGTCTCGCATTCTATCGCAGCTTTTGTTCTCGCCAAGATCACGATAAATAGTTTCAAAAATATATTCCTGAAACGTTTCGGGGAGTTCCTGTGATTTATGGTATAGGAAATCTGCATTTGTATTCGTGTCATTGGGGAAGGGGTTTAATTTTTTGCATTTTCTTTGTCTGTGTTCTCATCTGTTTAGCCCAACCACTTCGGCTGGACGGTAGAGCGACGGTCCTGTTTCATGCAGGTTAGCGTTCATTCCCCGACCGTCCACAAGTGATTGAGCACCATTCCTTTCCCCTGTCCCATCCCAAATCCATATTCTAACCCCTTCCAAATGCTATATAGTCGTACTGGCTTGGCGCTTGTTACTTGCCTTCCTTCCCACATGTTTACACTCAGCTGTTAGTAGAAACTGAGTGTCAAGTTAACTAATTAACATGTTGGAAATAATTAAACAAAAGTAAATATTTAACTCTGATAAGTCTCCAGATCTAGATTAATATTTCTTGTGGTGTGTTAAGAATGTTATGATGAGCTAAGTGAGCCTTTGTCTTGTATTTGAAAATACTAAATACTTAGTTTGTTTTATGGTGAGTTGAGTAGAAGAACTTTTATGGGATTTTTTAATTTGTTGATGTCCTGTGCGCAGGAAACTATATTTTGTTTTAATTATGTATCAAAATATGTACAAACGTTAATTATTTTCTTAATTTTATGTATTATAGTTTATTGATATAGCTAGATTTGGTAAATTAAATTAAATAGTACAGACTACCTTTTCGAGTACACATGCAGAAATATATATATATATATATATATATATATATATATATATATATATATATATATATATATATATATATATATATATATATATATATATATATATATATATATATATCATATTAGCATGTCTTGTAATCATCTAAGTTTTAGCCCATAGTTCCTATGGGCCTGATAGTTGGGTGGACAGCATTTCGGATTCATAGTCCTGAGGTTCCGGGTTGGATCCCTAGTGGAGGCGGAAACAAATGGGCAGAGTTTCTTTCACCCTGAATGCCCCCTGTTCACCTAGCAGTAAATAGGTACCTGGGAGTTAGACAGCTGCTACGGGCTGCTTCCTGGGGATGTGTAACAAAAACTGGCCTGATCGAGGGACACTAAGCCCCGAAATCATCTCAAGATAACCTCAAGATAACCGCAGAACTCGACCTGAGGTAACTGTGTTGAAGCCTATGTAGATAATTAAGAGAAGCAGACAGTTGCTAAGTAATGAACAGTCTGCTGACAGCTGTGTTGCCTCCATTAAAAAGTTAAGCATCAAAGTGCCTTGTTACCAATAGTTTCCACTCCGGCAAAGTTGTCTCATTAAGGAATTAACAGCGTGAGCGGAATTGTCCAACTACACATTACGTGTTAGAGATTACCATGTTGTTGTTGTTGTTGGTGGTGGTGGTGTTATAGATTCGCTACCTGGAACAAAAAGTTCCAAGTAGCACGGGCTATGGCGAGCCCGTTTTCCAGTTCGCCCGGAGGCCTACGAGTATCACAAAAATTAAGTATAAAGTCAATTTTTATGTAAGTACATATATATATATATATATATATATATATATATATATATATATATATATATATATATATATATATATATATATATATATATATATATATATATATATATATATATATATATATATATATATATATATATATATAAACTAGAAAGTTTCGAGAGCCGTGGTTGAGACTCGAACCTCCACTTGCATGATGTAAAGTTGAGTGTGATACCACTGAACCACCACCATGCAAAAGTAAGGGATCGGATTTTTCAACTGACTCAACCCTTTACTCGGGGGGGGGGCATATATAATATATAATAATATTATAATATTATTATATATAGTATATATTAATAGTATAATATTCCGTTGTCTAAAACCCGGATTTGATGAAATTGCTGACTATAAAAGTCCGAATGCACCCGGGTAAGAAGTTGAATCAGGGGGAAAAAAAATGCTATCCTTTTGTGATGTGGGGGACCAGTGGCATAGTACTCAGCTTCGCATCTTTGATAATCCCTAATCACCCAATGGTACAGAATTTTGTGAGACTATCCCTAAGCATCTGGCCTCCAGCATCGAATGATAGATAGACAGCCAGACAGACAGATTTCTTTTTATAGATATAGATATGCCTAATATTTATAAAAATACAACCTAACATAATTGAAATTCGAAAAAAAAGATATCTCCATTAAAACTTCAAATGCACCGCCATATTCATAAACGTTTCTTTACCTCACTAAGGTGAAGGCAGACTTAAGCTATTGAGCAGTCTAGGGGTTAAGTCTAACGTTAGTCTTCGACTAAAGTCTTAATTCTCAAACCCCATTCACTTAAGGGTGAGTTGGATTTAAAAATAGATTTATATAAATTGTTACCAACTTGAAGTAGTTATTTCTGAAGAAATATGTATGGAAATTGAGTTCACACGAACCTATACGCAAACATATATAGTACTCAAGAGTAAGGGGAAGAGTAAGGGGAGACATGATAACCACCTACAAAATTCTCAGGGGAATTGACAGGGTGGACAAAGACAAACTCTTCAGCACGGGTGGGACACGAACAAGGGGACACAGGTGGAAACTGAGTGCCCAAATGAGCCACAGAGATATTAGAAAGAACTTTTTTAGTGTCAGAGTGGTTGACAAATGAAATGCATTAGGAAGCAATGTGGTGGAGGCTGACTCCCTACACAGTTTCAAGTGTAGATATGATAGAGCCCAATAGGCTCAGGAACCTGTACACCTGTTGATTGACGGTTGAGAAGCGGGACCAAAGAGCCAGAGCTCAACCCGTCAAGCACAACTAGGTGAGTACAACTAGGTGAGTACAACTAGGTGAGTACACACACACACACACACACACACATACACACACACACACACACACACACACACACACACACACACACACACACACACACACACACAAACACACACACACACACACACACACACACACACACACACACACACACACACACACACACACACACACACACACACACACCCACACACACACACACACACACACACACACACACACACACACACACACACACACACACACACACACACACACACACACACACACACACACACACACACACACACACACACACACACACACACACACACACAAGAACAATAAAACACATATATAGTAATAGAGTGACATATATACATTCGACACATAGAAACACATTAAGTCATATATATAGCAGGTTCAACCGTACATATATATGAACAGAAACACGGAATCCTTGTAGCAAAGAATGCTTCAGAGATTGACAGAGACAAACAGAAACAAATACTCAGTCATACTAACCAACAGGCACAAACACACTCTCAAACAAACACATATGGCACACAAACAAACAAACATCTGACACAAGAACACAAAATTGGCCAAACACCTACGTAACAAGAAAATACCCAGGAACTCTCATTCTAACGACCATACAGTCTAATTACACACACAGAAACTCGCAAACAGAAGCAATTAGAACCTGTTTCCTATCACCTGATGTCTCAATTCACCTAGCAGTCGATTGGTTATCTTGAGGTTATCTTGAGACGATTTCGGGGCTTTTAGTGTCCCCGGTTTTGGTACCTCAAAATTGACACCAAATTAGTGATACTCAAATCCAAATCCACACACAAATCCACACACAAATCCACACATAAATAAAATTCTATATGTTCCCACAGTTGCTAAATGGGAATATTATTACTTAATCTACGACTTGGGATCTGTCATTAAACTACGAAATACCGAACAATATTTTCAGGAATTCATATATTTCACAGCAGCTTATCACCTTTTCAGCGAACTGCACTTTTAAAGTTTAAAATGGAATTCAATATATATTTTTGGGAAGTTGTGAGGAAGGAAATGAAGGGCAAACTTCACTGGCGCCTGGTTCCTAGCGAGAAGTTTATACCCAACTTAGCGAGAAAGGGAGAGGGGGGGGATAGGGGGGGGTTATGGGGGGGTTAGGGGGGGGGGTTTAATGTAGTGTAATGCAAGTCTCGCTTACTTTATTAAGGTGCAAACTTTGACCAGGTCACTTCTGTAAATTTTCTGAAACTGTTAAGCCTTTGGGGTGTAAGTGTTTTTAAGCCTTTCCATGCACAAGTTTCAAGTTTTGTTTATGTATCTCCGATTTTCTGTTTGTAAACATTGCACTAGTTCAGTACAGGATGAAACAGATTTACAGCAAGTGCTTCAACAAAATATTTCTAGAGGCTTAAGTCTGAATTTCAGCTTTTTGAAACAAAGTTAATTCTGAATTTTAATACTTTGTATTGACCTCAGTGGCAATGTATTCTACCCGCTGTATTCTACCTTTTAAACGGTATTACTTCAAGTGGTTCACCTCACAGATAATATAATCTGCAGCAATCTACCTACAAGTAGAATAATCTACGGTATACCAGCTGAAAGGTAATATCCCTTATGTTAATCTTCTTCTAAGTGTTTCCCACTGAATTCTGTCTCATAGCTGTTCAATAGAACATCAAGAACTTGATGAACATACAACATACATACATACAACACACTTAAACATACATACATACAACACACTTAAACATACATACATACAACACACTTAAACATACATACATACAACACACTAGAACATACAACCAAAAATATTCACATTTTCAATCAATATGAATGAAATAACATTCATATTTTTTTCATTGATAGTATATCTCCATCGCTGCCTTAAGAAGAGATTGCCATATTTCATGTTAAATAAACTCAGTGGAAAGCTTTTAAGAAGAGCATTTGCTCTTGATATGAGCACATCATTCTCAAAGCAAATCAGTGGTATCGCTTGCCTTCTGCGCTCAAAAACAAACGTCAGTTGGAAAAAGTTATTCGCCACGATCTACAACCTCTGTTAAAAGAAATGTGTGATCCTAACGCCTCTTAAATTCCTCCGCAAGGCCAAATCTCGCTCCTTGGGTCGTGGAGTTTGTATTTACGAGAAAATTGGGTCTATTGAGTGTGGGTGGTATTTATGTGTGCTAAACTAGTGTGGCTATATAGCACTTGGAAGGGATTTGATGACAATGAGCTGGGATATGAAGCCAGAGAGAAGCAAGGGGATCGATCTCCGACCTGCATAAAACAAGGTCCATTGATACGAGTAGCAGTGCAGCCTCCCCCCTTCCGATCTCCACAACTCACAATCATATATCAATGGACGTTACCCACAATAGTTGTAACTCATAATACTAACTCATACGTAACTCATAATACTGGTACTGTATTGCTGCTTCGACAGCAGGAATGTATTGATCCCATGGTTGTATTTTCGTGGTCACTACTTCCATAGGTGTATTTCCACGGGCACTACCGCTTCCACAAGAATACATCTGGGCAGCTTTATGTGAGGAGACAGCTTGAATGATCACAGAACGGTCGTAAAACAGGGCCATTAATGTGTCAGCCGGAGTGTTGGAGAACCAGCACCTTTGGAGGTGCCTCTCGTCAGCACCGTTGGAGGTGATCTCACCAGCACCGTTGGAGATGTCTTTCACCAGCACCAGTACAACAGTGCCCCGGGCAGGAAGAGTTGTAAACATTTTACAACCATTTTTCACTCCGAAATGGAATTTATTTTCATATCAATAATTATAACCATAAAAAAACAGAACTGGTTCTCACAGAACCGCTATAATCACATATATATATATATATATATATATATATATATATATATATATATATATATATATATATATATATATATATATATATATATAGGTCCTATATATATAGGACCACGTAAAGGAACACGTTGACAGGAGCGGTGCTCAACAGGACTTTCCTGAACTGGACTTTCCTCAACTGGACTTATGTGTTGATGAATGTGTTTTGACTACAGGCATCTGGCTGGCCGGTTCGGTATTCGCAGTCTCTTTTTCTTTTTTGAGTGGCCGGGGGCGCAATAACCTGGTCTTTTTCAGACTGGGAGGAGAATTTTCAATATGTTTTTTTTTGGGGGGTGGGGGGGGGGCGTAGGGAAATTTTCGATTTCAATATCACTTTCTTTTTCTCACACATTCATTCCTTTTCTCCCTCTTTCTGTGTGGAGCTCTCTCTCTCTCTCTCTCTCTCTCTCTCTCTCTCTCTCTCTCTCTCTCTCTCTCTCTCTCTCTCTCTCTCTCTCTCTCTCTCTCTCTCTCTCTCTCTCTCTCTCTCTCTCTCTCACACACACACACACACACACACATATATATATATATATATATATATATATATATATATATATATATATATATATATATATATATATATATATATTAAACACACACATCCGCAACCACACACATACACACACACGCAAACACACACTCACACACACCATACCAGCAACAGACAACATATACTCACACCAGCGACAGACAACAGATACACCAGCAACAGAAAACAGATACTCACACCAGCAATAACAGTTAACAGTTACTCATTCCAGCCACAGACAACGGAATACTCACGAAGAACATGAGTGGTGAGTGTAGTGTGAACGGGAGGTCCAAGCCCGTTGCTAGCTTCACACACGAACTTCCTGCCGTTGTGCCCTGCCGTTGTCCTCACCTGCACCTCAGACCTAAACAGGAAAAAGATGAATTAAGTCTTTTTCATCATGAGGAAAAGACGAACTTACCCATGAGGAAGAAAGGACTTACCCATGGGTAAAAGAAGGCCTTACCCATGAGACAACATGAGTTCCTTGGAGTTCTTTATTCAGGAAAAGATTGTAGATGTTTGTGTGATAAGTGAAAATTTTCTTGATATATTTGTCTTCTGTACTTGGGGGCCTTGTGGCTGAGTGGATAGCGCTCGTGGGTCTTAGTTCTCAGAGCCAGGGTTCGATTCCTGGTTAAGGTAGGTAGAAATGGGTAAAGTTTCTTCCACCCTGATGCCTCTGTTTATCTAGCGGTAAATAGGTACCTGGGAGTTAGATAGGTGAAACGGGCTGCTTTCTGTGGATGAGTGTGTGTGATTGTGTTCGCGTGTTTTAGAGAGAAATATATGTAGTTGACATTATAGAGGAAAATAGATTTGTTGGAAAGACGGGGTCCAAGAGCTAATTGCTCAATTCCACACACACACACACACACACACACACACACACACACACACACACACACACACACACACACACACACACACACACACACACACATACACACAGTACTACTACACTGTTAGGTAAAGAGATAATCCTGACCAATCAACTGGATAATAATCAATCATATCCTATATCCTTACTTTCATCTATCTTTCATGTGCTATATACTCGTAATACCTTACTGCTTTCGTCTGATAATTACCTAAACTTACAAACCCTTAATGGCAGAATGATTCTTCATGATTACTGAAACACGAAGAGATAATGTCTCATTACCTTCAGAACAACTTGAGCAAAGTAGAATTCCCTTGACTTTTGAACCATCTTTGAAGGAGAACATTTCTATGTTCTCAGACACATTTGAACATGAGAATGTTTACCTGACTACTTGATGTGAAAAAGAGAATATATATCCTTGAATTCCGAGCCTTCTATGTAAGAATAGACTGTCAACTATACCTCATGCACACTCAAATTTTTCAAGAATATCATAAGTTCAATGTAAGTGATGATCTCAGACAACTGTACCATCCTTAGCAAGATTGCAACACTGAAAATTGCTGTATAAATATAAAGGTTAAATTTAACATAAGAAGTTACCCCTATAAAGATGGACAAGAACTCCACATAAAGGCAATGTTATCCTTTTTTACGACCTCAGCAGATTGGAAAGGATTACATTTTTTTCCATTGAAAGCTCAAAAAAGATAAGGCTGAGATTTTTACAGAAATCAGTGTTGAACTTTATCTCTTCACTGGTGTATTTGTCTCCTAAGTTCGGTAAAAAATGGTGACCTTTCTTCACCGTTCAATAGAAAAGGTTTAGCATATACTTGTGGTATTTTTTTCAGAGAGTAGTAAAACTCCGTTTCGCCTTAATTCAGTGTGAAACAATAAATCTTGTACAATTCGAAACACATCATATAAAACAAATGGCCACAATCACATTCAAACAAACACAGGACAGAAAAAAACAACAATAAACTTGAAATATAAAGAAGAAAAAACAAAGTAACTAATTATCATTCTGAATCCTAAGGAGACAACCCAGTAATAGGAAGCAAAACAATTTCGAAGATTGTACAGATTTCAGAGGATTTCTCACATACAGATGGTGAGAGAGGGAGGAAATATGCCCACCATGACCATCCATCTTTACTACAATGCTCTCTTCCACCCACACACACCTGTCGCTACCCACATAATGCCCTATTCCACCCACACCTGCTTCCTATAGATGATGCTACCTTCATGCACCACTTCCTTACACTAACCCAACAATATCTCATAAATTACAGACCCTCATGTCCCTTCTACCCATTCCAAGACATCTCTCTCTCATCTCTCGACATCTTACCTCTCATACACATTACCTCCATGCTCCTCCTCACTCCAACACACCTGCCCCTTGCCCTCACATTTCCAACCAACCTTCATCAGAAATATCTGCCCTTCTGTCCTCCACTATAGCCACAAAACCACACCCATAGCATCTCACCTTCCAGGAGAATGTAGGCCAGTATGTAGCCTCTCTCTTCTACACCACAATTCCTCCCAGTTCAATCCTCTGAACCAACATCTGCAAAGGCCATAACACTCTTACCTGGACGGCTCAGATACACTGCAAGTTCCTGTAAAAATAGCCTTTACCTCTTCCACTTCCAGTCCTCTATTCCACCCGATGTTGAATACACAATTCCAGGCATGCAAACTCAGCATCGGAAAGCTTTACACAAACATGGTCAGTCTTAACGCAATCTTACATTATTTATCTTACATTGTTTGGGCACACAAAGGGAAGATATCTCAGGGCTGTGTTGGTGGGGAAGACATCAGGTCTCACCACGACCTGGTTCTCGGCCATCACAATCTCACAATCAATCACCAGAGACCCAATCAGCTACCCACCTAGTGCTGGTGCCTCCGAAGGCCCCCTGGGCGTTGGTAATGGTAGCACCGTTTAGGGTGACGTCCTCAGACCTCCAGGTGATGTTGGAGGGCGGGAGGCTGGAGGAGGACTCACAGGAGAGCCTCACTATGGCTCCTTCCTCTACTGTGGTGGGGGTGACGGAGCCTGACACCTCCCACGGAGCAACTGTGGAGAAGAGAAGAACGACAAGAGGTCACTCACTCACTGTTCCTGTTAACCCAGTTAACAAGAAGAGAGAGAGAGAGAGAGAGAGACAGGCAGATAGAGAAAAAGAGAGACAGACAGACAGAGAGTGTGTCCGTTTAAAAAAAAAACATACAAACAGAGAAACTTACAGACGGAAAAAGAATGGTTGTGAACCGATGCATGTGGAACATAAACCCGAGTAAGTGAAACGCGGAGGGCCAGCACCGTAGACTCTTTCTTGGAATTGTGGCGGGGAAGAGAGAAATGCATTAGCAAACTCAAACAATATACACATTTTAGGGGTCATATAATATATTAATTACTACAAAAATTGGTAAGAGAACGTGATTTTATTTATAGCTGGAATTGGAAATAATAAATTTGGAAAAGTAAAGGTTTACCGGAAAGTGAAAAGGCGTCATTAATATGAGAAAAGGAACAGGTTGAGTATAAAGGGACTGTAGAAAATTTATAATAATATATGATACGTGATGTATAGGACCGTAGAATTTTACGTTAAATTTCATGAATATAGCCAAATCGGTACGGTGTATAGTGAACAAGAGACCCAGCAAAAGTTACTGTGATGGTTTGTTAATACTTGTCTTGTTTGTTCTACACCTATCTTGAGGTTATCTTGAGATGATTTCGGGGCTTAGTACCCCGGCGGCCCGATCCTCGACCAGACCTCTACCCCCAGGAAGCAACCCGTGACAGCTGACTAACACCCAGGTACCTATTTACTGCTAGGTAACAAGGGCATCAGGGGTGAAAGAAACTCCGCCCATCATTTCTCGCCGGCACCCGGGATGGAACCCGGGACCACAGGATCACGCGTCCAGTGTTCTGTCCGCTCAGCAACCGGCTCCCTTCGCCACAATTTCATATTTTTTTTTAATAAAAACCCCCCCCCCCCCACCCCAAAACAAAAATTGATTTAGTGCTTAAAAAGGTATTGCTACGAACAGTGAAAAGGATTGGTGATTATTTTTTATTTATAATCCAACTTCAAAGGAATTTGAAAGTTGTCACTCAAAGCATACTGAGTGAAAGTTACCACTCAAAGCATACTGAGTGAAAGTTGCCACTCAAAGCATACTTAGTGAAAGTTGCCACTCAAAGCATACTAAGTGAAAATTGCCACTCAAAGCATACTGAGTGAAAATTGCCACTCAAAGCATAATTAGTGAAAGTTGCCACTCAAAGCATACTAAGTGAAAGTTGCCACTCAAAGCATAATTAGTGAAAGTTGCCACTCAAAGCATACTAAGTGAAAGCTGGAAATTCTCTAACAACATTAGTCAAAAGTCAAATAAACATTGAATTTGAATTATTTTAAATATTATATTACGTAAAATTCAATACTTCTCCGCATATCCAAATGCAAAAACATGATAGAGATTTAAACCAACTGCTCATAACTTCCTTATAACAGAAATACGAAGTTTAGCAATGTTTAATCAGCTATTTTGTAATTACAAATCCATTTGAAATTGAAGGATCTGCGAGCAACAGCAGAACTACCACCAGCACACCTATCATTAGAGGAATAAGTGGGCTCTCGGTCTCCCTCGTAATGTACCTTAACAACACTACATTGTTACACCCGTGGACTAATTACCGCTAGAGGAGCAATTCAGGCCTCGGGGCTCACCGCTGTAACAGTCTACCTTGCATATATTTTGTTCGTTTAATTCGTTGGGTTGTATTTCCCTAGTTCGTTTGTTTGTGTTTTGAATTCGTTATTTACAATTTTGCGTGTTTTAATCTACTTTAAACACTCTACGACGTTGCTACAACAAAGTTTTAACGACTTCTAATGAGTTTTAACGACTTTCTAACGAGTTTTAACGCCTTTTAACGACTTTCTAACAAGTATTAACGCCAATTAACGAGTTTTAATGACTTTTAACGAGTTTTAACGACTTCTAATGAGTTTTAACGACTTTCTAACGAGTTTTAACGCCTTTTAACGAGTTTTAACGACTTTCTAACAAGTATTAACGCCAATTAACGAGTTTTAATGACTTTTAACGAGTTTTAACGACTTCTAACGAGTTTTAACGACTTCTAACGAGTTTTAACGCTTTCTAACGAGTTTTAACGACTTCTAACGAGTTTTAACGCCTTCTAACGAGTTTTAACGCTTTCTAACGAGTTTTAACGACTTCTAACGAGTTTTAACGTCATCTAACGAGTTTTAACGACTTCTAACGAGTTTTAACGTCATCTAACGAGTTTTAACGTCATCTAACGAGTTTTAACGACTTTCTAACGAGTTTTGACGATTTCTAACGAGTTTTAACGTCTGCGAACAAGTTTTTAACGACTTCTAACGAGTTTTAACGACTCCAAACGAGTTTTAACACCTAGCAATTGTAACATCCAATATAGCAAGTTGTAACAACGTCATAATACGTCATAAAAACGTTATAACAAGATGTAACAACTTAATTTCAAGTTGTAACAAGAGAATTATAGGGACCATTACGGTGTGTGTTTGCAGGAATATAATCATTCATCATTGAATAATTATATGATTATATGATTGAATTATTGGGTTTTAGTATCATATGTTCTATAATTATTATAGAGGTGGCTTGAACATGGCCGTTTCTGACGTTGTATTATACACCGAATACAATACGAATACAACCAACCCCCAAGCTAACGAGCATCTAAAAAGTATATAGATTGCATTACTGCATTAGAATTATTAATTAGGGATTAACTATTGATCATGAAAACAGATTTTTTGATCATTGTGATGTTCTGAATGCACGACAAATCCTTTTTTCTCATGACTACAGAAGGAAATATTCTCTTCTGCAACAGTTGTACAACCACTTGGGCTGGACGGTAGAGCGACGGTCTCGCTTCATGCAGGTCGGCGTTCAATCCCCGACCGTCCAAGTGGTTGGGCACCATTCCTTTCCTCCGTCCCATCCCAAATCCTTATCCTGACCCCTTCCAAGTGCCATATAGTCGTAATGACTTGGCGCTTTCCCCCCCTGATAGTTCCCTTCCCTTCTGCAACAGTTAGGCAACAGCTTTGCAATATAGATGAAACTAGGAGAAGAAATTGGGTGATTAGACTTGGAATATGCTATTAAATTGTTATGTAATGGAAACGACCGTCTGTGAGTGGTGTTGGGCTGCAATTAAACTCTGTGGTGATATGAGATGTGTGTGAGACCATAAGCAGACCATATGAGACCATTCTTAGACCATATAAGATCATTCTTACACCACATGAGACATTATATAGATCATATGCGACCGGAAACAGATCGAATAGGACCCCGAGCAGACCAAGTAGGTCAGCAAGAAGACCATACAGGACCACGTTGACCAGACCACACACTAGAAGGTGAAGGGACGACGACGTTTCGGTCCGTCCTGGACCATTCTCAAGTCGATTGTGACTTCGACACATTCTCAAGTCATAATCGACTTGAGAATGGTCCAGGACGGACCGAAACGTCGTCGTCCCTTCACCTTCTAGTGTGTGGTCTGGTCAACATTCTTCAGCCACGTTATTGTGACTCATCGCCTGCATACAGGACCAAGACCATGCCTAGTAAGACCATGGGCCAGAGATTAATTCAGAGCAAAAAGATCATAAAATTCTCCTTGGTCAGATTTGGTGGGTTTAGAAGATTCGTCAAATGAGGGGGATGACACGATAAGGAGGCGGGAAGAGAAATGGTGTGATAAAGGGGAGATAGGGGATAGAGGATTGGGACTAGTTAGGGGGAAATAATAGGAAATACTAGAGGTGGGATGAGCAAAGCAAGAGGTTAACTGTGTGTTCGTGATTCGCTATTCCTTTCTACTCCGTCACATTACGACTATATAACACTTGAAAGTCGTCAGGATAAGAATTTAGGATGGGACGGGGGGTAAGGAATGATGCCCCAAGCACTTGGATGGTCAGGGATTGAACGCCGACCTGCACGAAGTCAGACCGTTGCTCTACCGTCCAAGAGAGGTCTCGAAGTGGAGGAAGTAGGGAAGTAATGGCGCCTAACTGCTTGAACCATCTCAGACATGCAAGAACAGTATCAGTCGCCCTTCCGTTGAGACATGGAACTATGCCCAAGTATCTTCTTGAGGTTATCTTGAGATGATTTCGGGGCTTTAGTGTCCCCGCGGCCCGGTCCTCGACCAGGTCTCCACCCCCAGGAAGCAGCCCGTGACAGCTGACTAACACCCAGGTACCTATTTTACTGCTAGGTAACAGGGGCATAGGGCGAAAGAAACTCTGCCCATTGTTTCTCGCCGGCGCCTGGGATAGAACCCAGGACCACAGGATCACAAGTCCAGCGTGCTGTCCGCTCGGCCGACCGGCTCCCTAGGGTGAGAGGAAATATTTTCAAGGGGGCACTAGAGAACAGGATTATAAACGACCGTTAAAACAAAATCCCGCGCACTGCGTGAGCCATCAATCCGTTGGAGCGACTAACCTTGTATGAAAGCTCTCTCAGGGCTTAGCCCTAAAGTCAACGCAGAAAACGTTTTCCTTCGCCTAAACGGCCATATACTTCTGCTGGTCGATACAACCATGGCCTAGAATCTTGCAGAGTCTGCCTTTGATTCCCGATGGTGCAAGTGCTTGGGCACAGTTGCTTTCTCTTTTCCACATATCCCAGTTCCTGACCCTCATATCCCTACCTCCCAGTCCACATATCCCACTTCCCTATCCACATATCCAAGCTCCTTGTACTCATATCCGAGCTCCTTTTCTTTATATTTCAACTCTTTGCCCTTAAATCCCAGCTCCTTGTCTTCTAATCCCTTTCATGTGATATATAATCACACTGGCTTTTGGCAACAGTATTTAGTCTTTAGGTAACAAGTTTTGTGATCTAAAGAAAGAGTAGTTTTTCATAGAATACGACGCCCCAATCCGCTTACAATCATGTGTCAGCAGTAAATCAAAGTGAACTGTGAAGGATTGGCACCTAGTCAATCCTTCCTGGTCACGACTCGAACCCAGACTAAATCGCTCGTGAAGTGCTGGGGGCGAGTATGTAACCACTGCGCCAACAGGGACTCTTTATCCCGAGATTAAACAAAGAAACAAACTAAATTTGTAACTTTCCTGATTTTGACACATTGATATATATATATATATATATATATATATATATATATATATATATATATATATATATATATATATATATATATATATATATATATCGTGCAAGTAGAACATTAAAATTTCTTGATGAATCCCCAAAGTATGATGATAAAATCCCCCAGACGCATAAATGTCACTATCTGCAGCGATTACTGTAACTTAAACGGAACACGTATATCAAAATTAACTTCCAACAGTCACGGAACTCTTATTGAGTGTTTTTGGAGTCTATGAGTCGTTGCCTTATACCTGAGTGCATCATGAATTCAAATTTTTTTGAAGTTTTAGATGGGTCAGAAGCTGTGTTGACTGGCGTTTTGGGAGGTAACTTGTCTCATGATTTTTCTGGTCATTCGTTTGAGTAGAGGTGGTAGACTAGACCACACACTAGAAGGTGAAGGGACGACGACGTTTCGGTCCATTCTGGATCATTTTTAAGTCGATTGTGTCGACTTGAGAATGGTCCTGGATGGACCGAAACGTCGTCGTCCCTTCACCTTCTAGTGTGTGGTCTGGTCAACATTCTTCAGCCACGTTATTGTGACTCCTCGTCTGCATAGAGGACGTATTTTGAGAGAAGCTGCGATTGTGTATGGGGTTCGGTCCTCATTTGTTTTTAAGTCGAGTCGTATACGAAGGGAGTTTACGACTGTGTGAGTGGTGAATAGGAATGTAAGTGTGTGTGTGTGTTTATATGAGTGCATTGGTGAATGTTTGTGTGTCTTTAAATTCTTAGATATGTGTGTGTGAGTGTGTGAGTGAGTTACTTACAGCGAACAACAAGCCTGGCGGAGGCTGTTAGTGGGGCACTAGTGCTACCAGCATTAGCGACTTCACAGGTCACTCTGGCGCCATTATCCGCCGGCGTCAGTCCCACCGAACCCCTTCCACGCGTAACATTCAACTCCCTTGTCACCTCCGTCGGCACCTCCTCCTCTTCCTTGTAGATCCTGAAACCCACCAAAAGAAACAGTCTTCCCTTAGAAGCATTCATGACAGCCAATGCGCATGCGTATCAACCACTGTATCGCTCAATATCTCTCTCATCCGACCGAAAATTGACGTTCGCGTACCTGATTGTGGGAGGTGGATGACCTCCAATGCTGGAGCAGACAAGGTCAAGGGTCGTTCCAGCGAGGAAGTTCCGTTCAAGGTCACCCTCGAATCTAGGCGGTCCGGCGGGTTCTGGAGGAGGACATGAGTATCTGACGTGAGGGAGTCAGTTGACAGGTTGTGACTCACTTGACAGATGCACTACAAAACGTCAGTCGACAAATAGTGAGTCAATTGTCCGGTAGAAGGTTAGTTATCGGGTAGTGAATCAGTTGATAGATAATGTGTCAGTTGATAGACAATTGTCAGACAGTGAGAATAATTATTACTCATCTGTCAAATAGAAAGATCCTCGATTTATTTATATAAGAAAGTAAAGAATGTCAGCGCTTGGTTCTCTGAGAATCAGATCTGAATGACACTCAAATATCAAGAACCTGATTGTACTGATTGACTTACTTTAAGAACAACAACGTGTTAGATTATCCTGATCGTTAGACACTCAGAGTTACCTTCTAATAAGTGTCTGAGGGGCTGTATCACAGACACAATCAGAGGCATCAGTGATGAAGAACTTCCTTGAGAATGATAACATAAGATAACTATGATTAACTGGTTCCAAGTCACTTGGACGATCGGGGATTGAACGCCGACCTGCATGAAGCGAGACCGTCGCTTTACCGTCCAGCCCAAGTGGCTGGTTGTAGGTGAACAGAAGAATTAAATGAATAGATACGAGGTCATCCATTTTTCTCCTGTCGGGGAATCGAACCTGGGGTCTCCGATTGGGAGTAGATGACAAAACCAAGTGAACTAGATTTTGTGCACATATTCTACTGGAACTTTATGTTAGATTACTTATTAAAAAGTACATTAATAACCACAGAATTACGTGATTCAGTTAGGCCTAAGTATCCACATAAGAAATTAAAGCGGAAATAATCTTAGCACATTCGATATTTAATATATGCTCAAGGAATACCTTACTACTTCAAAATGTGCCCAACCACTTGGGCTGGACGGTAGGACGACGGTCTCGCTTCATGCAGGTCGGCGTTCAATCCCCGACCGTCAACAAGTAGTTGGGCACCATTCCTTCCCCCCCGTCCCATCCCAAATCCTTATCCTGACCCCTTCCCAGTGCTATATAGTCGTCATGACATGGCGCTTTCCCCTGATAATTCCCTCCCTCCTTCCAAATGTGTAAAATCGCGAAACCTCTCAGATTAATTTAGCTCTTGTCTCTATGTGAATACTTACACATGTAAATACATAATTAACCTCAGGGGCCAGATTCACGAAGCAGTTACGCAAGCACTTACGAACCTGGGCCAGATTCACGAAGCAGTTACGCAAGCACTTACGAACGTGTACATCTTTCCTCAATCTTTGACGGATTTGGTTACATTTATTAAACAGTTTACAAGCATGAAAACTTGCCAATCAACTGTTGTTATTGTTATAAACAGCCTCCTGGTGCTTCGGAGCTCATTAACTGTTTAATAATTGTAAACAAAGCCGTCAAAGATTGAGAAAAGATGTACAGGTTCGTAAATGCCTGCGTAACTGCTTCGCGAATGTGGCCCCCAAGTTCGAAGGTGCTTAGGTAACTGCTTCGTGAATCTCGCCCCAGATTCGTAAGTGTTTGGGTAACTGCTTTGTGAATCTGGCTCCAGGTTCGTAAGTGTTTGGGTAACTGCTTCGTGAATCTGGCCCCATGTTCGTAAGTGCCGGGTAACTGCTTCGTGAATCTGGCCCAAGGTTACTAAGTGCTTGGGTAACTACTTCGTGAATCTGGCCCCATGTTCGTAAGTGCTTAGGTAACTACTTCGTGAATCAGGCCCCAGGTTACTAGAGTAGATAGACAGACTTACTGGTAATAGCGACGATTCGGGTCTTGGAGACTATCTGCTCTATAGCCGGGTTGAGGGCACGGCACTCCACCACCACCTCCGTGACCTTACGTGACCTGACCTTGTGGTGAGTGAGTTGTGAAGTGGTGACCCATCCTCCTGTGCTCACTCTCACCATTGTCTCAGGCTCACCGGTAACTGTTTCTCCTGCAGCAGTAGCAGCAGCAGCGCCCCCGGAAAGCATCCGGAAATAGATACACAGTTAGTTATGGTGTTTTTGCAACCCGTACGTCAAGCACACGCAAGAAACACACAGTAACGACGTTCCTGGAACACCCACATCAAGCACACTCAACAAAGACACAGCAATAGTGTTCTTGCAACACCCACGTCAAGCACACGCAGTTAACAATAAAATCTACTCGTAAATGGTGCTTTTTTCACACACACGCACTCATTTTCTCTCAAACTCTCTTCTTTCATCCGTATGGATGAAAGAAAAAGCAAATTCCAGCTCTCAAAACAGCATTCAAGTAATGAATATTTCAAAATCAAATACTTAAATAGCCAATTTTTATTTGCCAAAAGAGATTATTTTTATTTGAGCTTTATTGTCAATGAAAATGTATTTATATCGTATGAATGTTATTTACAACTTGATATCTTACTAATATATCTTCAAATTGTTTTTATTTTAGAACGTAACTTAGTTTATTGTTAAAATATATTACATATTTAAACTACATAAGGCAAGATATACGAGCTACTTATAATTAGTTTTAATGCATGTTATATTAAATTATTTTATGATACAAAAACAAATAAAATAATACAACGCCTCATGTGTAGCAGCAAAAAGTATATAGTATAAACTAAGATCTGATAGTCAGGTGTTACACTCACACATATTTTCTCCTTCACGTGTTCTCTCACATATATTACACATTGGAAGTGACATGTGTTCTTGGAACTACTGAATAATTTTGATCCATTAGATGGGGTGAGAAATTGTGCTAAAACCATGAATTTTTTAGAGGGGATGAAAGTGAATGGGTTAATAATCCAGACTATCCATAGGCTGTGAAAATGAATAAGGCTCTTCACAGATCTATCTTGAGATGATTTCGGGGCTTTAGTGTCCCCGCGGCCCGGTCCTCGACCAGGCCTCCATCCCCAGGAAGCAACCCGTGACAGCTGACTAACATCCAGGTACCTATTTTACTGCTAGGTAACAGGGGCATAGGGTGAAAGAAACTCTGCCCATTGTTTCTCGCCGGCGCCTGGGATCGAACCCAGGACCACAGGATCATAAGTCCAGCGTGCTGTCCGCTCGGCCGACCGGCTCCCTTATCCTTGGGAGGTGAAGATGAAAGAAGATTGTGAAGATTGATAAGGCTTTTCACAGATAAAGATAAATGTTTTACCTACGTACCTTGCACTCTCCAGATGATAGAGACCGGAGGATTAGACTTGCTCGTCTCACAAGTAAGAGAGATGGACGCCCCTTCTTCCACCTGCGTAGGTCCTATCAGGCTAACGAATGAGGGAACATCTGTTGGTACACGAACACGAAACCTGGATTAATTTCACCCCCCCCAGGTGAAATTAATTTCAGGTATTTGTTTACACTTGTGCGAATCTTGGAAACTGTTGCTTCCAAGAATCGTGCGAGTTTGATGAATTTTTGATTAAAAATTAGAATCAAGAATACTTAAAATTGTCACAGCAATGTGTATTCTAAGAATCTAAGAACTTCTGGTAATTTTTAAGCTAATCTGTGATTAGTGTGGCTATAAATACATTTTTTTTTCCATTGTTAGTGGGAATTCATTGAAGACTGTTGAGAAAAAATTATGTATTTTCACGATCTGAAAGATGAACACGATTCATTTTAAGCTTTATGTTTAAAGTCTCTTGTCAACATTCAGTAGTTTTGTATAACTCTTTCTCCTCATATCAGCTCTCCTCATATCAGCCTCATATGTCTGTCAGTGAGGGAGAGAATGGAGATGTTTTCTCATTTCGTTCTAAGGATGTTAAAGGTTCGGAAAGACGTCCTCTGAAGCCAAAATACAAGATCAATGTCTTCTTATTCCTGTAAGGAAGCTTGGGACGTCGTGGAATTCAAAATTCTTTATCCACGACCTGTTTGAGTTGAAAAACAGATAGTGTTTCTCTGTTTGAGGTTGTGGAGTTTGAAACCACTCTCTGAGTGCTTGGAATCTGGAGTATTTTTCTGCATGAGTACAAGGGCTTTTGACAGCAGGTTTGCCTGTAATTCCACTCCCCGTGGGTACTTCTACCACGATTGGGTATCAATACCCCTTAAAGTACCCAAAGGGGTACTCCCACGCCCAAGGATACCCAACTCACCAACGATACCCATTACCATGGGTATCCATTATTCATCTCTTCATCCTTCCATATCCAGTGAGTGAACACAACAGCTGGAGGGTGAGTCAAAAACTAATCAGGGTGAGTAACAGGGTGAGTAACACACTCACCCAGCGAGTGTGTTACTAACCGAGCTTGGTAACACACAGTTACCACGTGTGTTACCGTAAGCGATTTGGCCTGGGTTCAAACCCTGGCCAGGGAGGATTAAGTGGTCACGCGTCCAAATCTGATCGCTCCAGTCCGGAGAAAGTTAGTAGGATAAGACTCACCATGAGCAATGGGAAGGGAAAGCTCATCTGATATTCAATATTTTTAGTTAACCAGTCTTAATGAGCTGAAATGGGGCAATTCTGTTGTTAGTGCATCCCCGTTTCAACGGACTGACCTGCGTAGAATTTGAAGTGGTTTAGCCTGGTCATTAGCGTGAAACTAGGCTACCTAATTACCCAGAAGAGATAGAGGTTCTATTCCCCCTGGAATCGTCAATAATGCGATGTAATACGTTTCAGTAAAGCACCGTAATTTGAACGTTGCGGTCGACATCGTAGGCATTGCGATGCTTTACAAGTGAATATATATTTTGTTTTCATTGTACCCTTGAAATTTTGTGACGAAACTTAAACACCTGATCATTGTAACCAATGATATAAACACAGGATATAAATACACATGATATGAACACAGGACTCACACCACACTCATGAACACTCATAACTCATTAATGAGAGTGAATATATTATGAGAACGACTGGCATGTGAGATCCATACCCACGGTCTTATTTTTAAAGTAGAACCGCTAACTGGTCTTGTCCTTAATATATATATGTCTCTCTCTCTCTCTCTCTCTCTCTCTCTCTCTCTCTCTCTCTCTCTCTCTCTCTCTCTCTCTCTCTCTCTCTCTCTCTCTCTCTCTCTCTCTCTCTCTCTCTCTCTCTCTCTCTGGGATAGTACTCACAGTACACAGTGAGAGAGACATTGGCCACCATGGGCTCCTGAAGGAGGTCACTGTTGACTCTACACTCATAGATGGCGCCGTCGTCAGCAGCGGTGGCTGTCAGTTGGTGGGTGTTGATGACCCCTGCGGCGTCTGAGGTGGTTGTGTCATCCAACAGAAGTCCCTGACGGTGCCACGTGACCCAGGGGCGCGGGTTGCCCCCTGACACCCGGCACACTAGGGTCCTTCTCTCTCCTGCTACGAGGACTTCTCCTGTCTTGTAGCCGCTGATGGTGGGCGGTCCAGGTTGGTCTGTGGGGGTGTTGTGGGGGTGTTAGTGTCTCTCTGGTCTGTGGGGAGGTCCAGGTTGGTCTGTGGGGGTGTTGTGGGGGGTGTTAGTGTCTCTCTGGTCTGTGGGGAGGGCCAGGTTGGTCGGTGGGGGTGTTGTGGGGGTGTTAGTGTCTCTCTGGTCTGTGGGGAGGTCCAGGTTGGTCTGTGGGGGTGTTGTGGGGGGTGTTAGGGTCTCTCTGGTCTGTGGGGAGGTCCAGGTTGGTCGGTGGGGGTGTTGTGGGGGTGTTAGGGTCTCTCTGGTCTGTGGGGAGGGCCAGGTTGGTCGGTGGGGGTGTTGTGGGGGGGGTTAGTGTCTCTCTGGTCTGTGGGGAGGGCCAGGTTGGTCGGTGGGGGTGTTGTGGGGGTGTTAGTGTCTCTCTGGTCTGTGGGGAGGTCCAGGTTGGTCTGTGGGGGTGTTGTGGGGGGTGTTAGGGTCTCTCTGGTCTGTGGGGAGGTCCAGGTTGGTCGGTGGGGGTGTTGTGGGGGTGTTAGTGTCTCTCTGGTCTGTGGGGGTGTTGTGGGGGTGTTAGTGTCTCTCTGGTCTGTGGGGGTGTTGTGGGGGGTGTTAGTGTTTCTCTGGTCTGTGGGGAGGGCCAGGCTGGTCTGTGGGGGGTGTGGGAGCTGATCTCAGACCCCATCAACAGACTGAACTTGACTCAGAGCTCTATCTAAGAATCTCAGGAAATTTTTGAACTGGTTGGAACTTGCGAGAGATAATGACTCAAGATCATTTGTTCCAACTTCTTTGTTTTAGAACTTGAAGGTTAACGAGTTTGACCTTTCTGAGACAGACAGAAAGACAGACAGACAAAATGCCAGGTAGAGAAATGATCGGACCTAACAACAGTATTCTCTTGTGCATCAAAATTTTAAAAGCTTTACAGCAATAGATAGATAGATAGATAGATAGATAGACAGATAGACAGATAGACAGATAGACAGATAGATAGATTACAAACCACAACAAAGGTCGAAATAACATTTCATTCACTTGCACCAACGGAACCTCGAACTTCGACCACAGGAATGGAAGAACAGGAGCTGTACCGATCTGACTACGAGTGCCCACAATAAGAGAAGGTCTTAGAGACACATAACTGGTATCCAACTGGGATTTTCTAATCCCAGCCCCAGCAACCCACAAATCCCAGCCCCAACAAGCCACTAATCCCAGCCCCAGCAAGCCACAAATCCCAGCCCTAGCAAGCCACTAATCCCAGCCCCAACAAGCCACTAATCCCAGCCCCAGCAAGCCACAAATCCCAGCCCCAGCAAGCCACTAATCCCAGCCCCAACAAGCCACTAATCCCAGCCCCAGCAAGCCACAAATCCCAGCCCTAGCAAGCCACTAATCGCAGCCCCAGCAAGCCACTAATCCCAGCCCCAGCAAGCCACTAATCGCAGCCCCAGCAAGCCACTAATACCAGCCTCAACAAGCCACAAATCCCAGCCCTAGCAAGCCACTAATCCCAGCGTCAACAAGCCACTAATCCCAGCCCCAGCAAGCCACTAATCCCAGCCCCAGCAAGCCACTAATCGCAGCCCCAGCAAGCCACTAATACCAGCCTCAACAAGCCACAAATCCCAGCCCTAGCAAGCCACTAATCCCAGCTTCAACAAGCCACTAATCCCAGCCCCAGCAAGCCCCTAATCCCAGCCCCAACAAGCCACTAATACCCAGCACCAGGAGGCCCTTAATCCCAGCCCCAGCAAGCCACTAATCCCAGCCCCAGCAAGCCACTAATCCCAGCCCCAACAAGCCAATAATACCCAGCACCAGGAGGCCCTTAATCCCAGCCCTAGCAAGCCACTAATTCCAGCCCTAGCAAGCCACTAATCCCAGCACCAGCAAGCCCCTAATCCCAGCCCCAACAAGCCACTAATCCCAGCCCCAACAAGCCACAAATCCCAGCCCCAGCAAGCCACTAATCCCAGCCCCAACAAGCCACTAATCCCAGCACCAGGAGGCCCTTCCATGCATCCGGAGTGACAGTGATTGATTTATCTCCAATGTGAGCTAAACAACTTATCAATTGTCTTCATTGTCCACGAAATGGAAATAATTTTTGCATATAACCCTAGCGATGCTCAGGGCTGCAAAATTATTGGTGTGGAATCATGGCTTCAAAATCATTGTTGTGGAATCCTGGTTTCAAAATCATTTGTTACCAAATTTATTGTTTCAAAATCATTGTTGCAAAATCATTGTTGCAAAATAATTCTTGCAAAATGTTCGTGTCTGATGTGTTACTTTGGTTAAGTGTTAGGAAAACTAATTCTGTCAGTTTTTATAATGAGTGTTAAATTATGTGTTAAAAATTGTGGGAATAGAGTCATTATTTTTAACATAAATGCAATACTTACTAAAGATAGTTTGATCACAAATGACAATAATGAAACTACAACTGATTTATTTACATCTTTTAACAATCATAACAACTTTGTTTACATGTAATAAAAAGCTTATGAGGCTGAAAACTGTTAAAGGTAAAAGGGGACTTCATGAGTTAGGGAAAGATGTACAGGTTTCGTAAATAGAGACGTGATAGACCACAGAGTGACTGAGGCTCCCTAGAGAGCTTGGCTTCAGTGGCAATTCATATTCCAGTGGAGCTTAAGTGGATTCCATTCTCCGGGCTCTGATATCCCCTCTTATCTACTCTTTCATTCCTTCGCTCACCTCTATCTGACCCTTTGTTTCGGCCCCCCTTCTACCTTACCCATCGTCTACCTCTACCCTTACTCACTAGCTCAGCCCCTTACCCACCGTTCACTGACTCAGCTTCTTTGCTGACCTACAATCCACTGGAAAAATAGAGATCAAGTATCTGAAAATTGTAAGGAAATGTGATATTCTATATAACAAATATTTTCTATATTTTTAGGAATATAGAATTATATATTAAACCGGCTATTGATAGAATCTATGCACTTGCTGAAGCGGAAAATTGAATGGTTTAGTGGTTTTCAAGCTTATAACGTGTTAATTGAAAACTTCATTGGATCAAGTGAAGTATTTGTGAAATTCCTTATAGAACGTAAAAGTGAAAATAGTTAGCCATTTCTTTGCATTCATGAAATAATTGGAATGGAATATAGTGGAGAGAGTTGCACATATGACGTGATTGAACTATCGGCCAATTAGCTTACATTGAACTATCGGCCAATTAGCTTACATTGAACTATCGGCCAATTAGCTTACATTGAACTATCGGCCAATTAGCTTACATTGAACTATCGGTCAATTAGCTTACATTGAACTATCGGCCAATTAGCTTACATTGAACTATCGGTCAATTAGCTTACATTGAACTATCGGCCAATTAGCTTACATTGAACTATCGGCCAATTAGCTTGACATCTATTTGCCAAAAATTGCTTCAATCGATAATGGTAAATGCCCTTGGTGCATATTGGGAAAGTCGGAGATTTTCCTGCTTAAATTTTTTTTCCAATAAATTTGAAGCAGTCGATAATGAAAAAACTTTGTAACATTGAAAACCTTACTTTGATAACGCCTTTGTCATTGAGCCCCACATTAGAAAAGTCTATATCTTGGGATGATATCTTATGCTGCTTTAGGGCAAAGTTACAGGATGATATCTTATGCTGCTTTAGGGCAAAGTTACAGGATGATATCTTATGCTGCTTTAGGGCAAAGTTACAGGATGATATCTTATGCTGCTTTAGGGCAAAGTTACAGGATGATATCTTATGCTGCTTTAGGGCAAAGTTACAGGAAGATATCTTATGCTGCTTTAGGGCAAAGTTACAGGATGATATCTTATGCTGCTTTAGGACAAAGTTACAGGATGATATCTTATGCTGCTTTAGGGCAAAGTTACAGGATGATATCTTATGCTGCTTTAGGACAAAGTTACAGGATGATATCTTATGCTGCTTTAGGGCAAAGTTACAGGATGATATCTTATGCTGCTTTAGGACAAAGTTACAGGATGATATCTTATGCTGCTTTAGGACAAAGTTACAGGATGATATCTTATGCTGCTTTAGGACAAAGTTACAGGATGATATCTTATGCTGCTTTAGGACAAAGTTACAGGATGATATCTTATGCTGCTTTAGGACAAAGTTACAGGATGATATCTTATGCTGCTTTAGGGCAAAGTTACAGGATGATATCTTATGCTGCTTTAGGACAAAGTTACAGGATGATATCTTATGCTGCTTTAGGGCAAAGTTACAGGAAGATATCTTATGCTGCTTTAGGACAAAGTTACAGGATGATATCTTATGCTGCTTTAGGACAAAGTTACAGGATGATATCTTATGCTGCTTTAGGACAAAGTTACAGGATGATATCTTATGCTGCTTTAGGACAAAGTTACAGGATGATATCTTATGCTGCTTTAGGGCAAAGTTACAGGAAGATATCTTATGCTGCTTTAGGACAAAGTTACAGGATGATATCTTATGCTGCTTTAGGGCAAAGTTACATCACAAGAAAAAGAAAAGGTTTGTATAGAAGGGATGAATTCTTGTGGAAAGATATTGCAACTGAAGATCTGGAGAGCATGTTGGGCTCTGTCATGGACCCTGAGAGTGGGGTAGAGGCTACCAGGGGGGTGGAAGCCCCCCCTGAGAGTAGGGTGGAGGCTACCAGGGGCGTCGAAGCCCCTCTGAGAGTGGGGTGGAGGCTACCAGGGGGTCGAAGCCCCCCTGAGAGTGAACTGGAGGCTACCAGGGGCGTCGAAGCCCCCTGAGAGTGAACTGGAGGCTACCAGGGGCGTCGAAGCCCCCCTGAGAGTAAACTGGAGGCTACCAGGGGGGTCGAAGCCCCCCCTGAGAGTGAACTGGAGGCTACCAGGGGGGTCGAAGCCTCCCTGAGAGTAGAGTCGAGGCTACCAGGGGCGTCGAAGCCCCCCTGAGAGTAGAGTCGAGGCTACCAGGGGCGTCGAAGCCCCCCTGAGAGTAGAGTCGAGGCTACCAGGGGCGTCGAAGCCCCCCTGAGAGTGAACTGGAGGCTACCAGGGGGGTCGAAGCCCCGCTGAGAGTGAACTGGAGGCTACCAGGGGGGTCGAAGCCCCGCTGAGAGTGAACTGGAGGCTACCAGGGGCGTCGAAGCGCCCCTGAGAGGGAACTGGAGGCTACCAGGGGGATCAAAGCCCCCCTAAGAGTATGGTGGAGGTACTCACGGAGGACGGAGAGGGTGATGGAGGCCAGCAAGGGGTCGGAGCTCCCCCTCAGAGCCGGATGGTCTGCCTCACAAGTAAACAACTTGCCGTCGTCCTCTGGCGACGCCGTCAACGCTATCCGGCTCCTGACGCTCCAACGACGCACCAGAGACGACGCCTCCACCCTCTCCTCCACCAGCCCTGCGGTGGAGCAAACGAACTATTAGTGTTGGCATCTTCAACAGCCCTGTAGTGGTAGAGATATCACATTAGATACGTTTCCAGAACGTTCTCAGGCCGTTCACGAACGTTCAAAGAACGTTCGAAAATTGACATTTTAAACACAGGAATGACATTACCTGTGACTGTGTACCTACATTAGACTTGGTATCTGTACCACAACATACTGTTGTACCTGTACCATCACCCACGAGTGTTCCTCTTTATCACTCACCTTGGTCCAACTGCAGACCGTCTCTGTACCACCAAACTGTTGGTGCTGGCCGAGCGTCCTTAACCAGACACTCCAGTGTGATGGAGGAGCCAGCCACCACCTCCACTACTGACCCGTCCCTCCACCCTGAGAACTCCACACTCCTCGGAGCCACTGTTGGAGAAACAGGTGTGTGAGGAGTGTCACTGTTGGAGTGACAGGTGTGTGTGTGTAAGATGTTTAAACAGACAGGTATAGACACTATACACCTCTCAATATTGCTGACGCCATATGTTTGAAATACACATAAAAATACATGCACGTACGCTCATTCATACATATAAATATGTGTGAATATACATATACAACAGTCAGAACCATGTACATAACCTCACACACATATATACATATTTATAATGTATATGAGTTGAGACATCACCCTGTGTGTGTGTGTGTGTGTGTGTGTGTGTGTGTGTGTGTGTGTGTGTGTGTGTGTGTGTGTGTGTGTGTGTGTGTGTGTAAGCCATAACCACTATGGCTATTGCCTCAATTTCTAAGTAATTAAATGAATTAATTTCTAAGTAATTTCATCTCACTTCCCTCGATAATTGCCAATTAAGTTACATAATTAAATAAATATACTGAATAATATATTTTTCCATGAACACGATGGCTGAAAAAGTCAGTAAATTCAGCAGACTTTGATTCTTATAGAATAATAAATGGAGAGTCAGTCAACTTGCAAGTCAGTAGAGTCTGCTGGACCTCAGCTACTCAGCTACAGCTATATATATAATATATATATATATATATATATATATATATATATATATATATATATATATATATATATATATATATATACCCCCATAAACATCTTGCCTGTATTAGTTCACAAGAAACTATACAAAAATATATTTTTTTTAAGGGAATAAAGACTGTGTTTAGGTCAAGGATTGGTTTGGTCTTAAACTTTTTGGCTTACTACCCTCTTGAGGGTTATTAAAGCCACCAGTAGTGCTTGCTGGCTAGTGTATATACATATATATCTATATCTATATCACTTGTTGTATATATATATATCCCCTGAAGGTCCAGAAAAAAAGTTTAATCTATATGGACTACTATTTTGAAGGATATTATTTTTTTTTTAATAATTTTTCCTACTTTTTTACGTTTTAAACAAAATATTTTGGAACTTTATTTTTGTTTGTCAATTATTTATTTATGTGTTTAAAAATCCGTTTTTTTGTGTTTTAATTATTAACTTTCGAATTATTTTTCCTCATTGATGTTTTTATATAATTTTAAATCATTTTATTATATTAAATATCTAAGTTATTATTATCATTATTAATTATTTTTCAAGTTAATAATTCTTTCCTCAAATGAAATACGTTTCCGAATAGATATTTGCTTTACTGAAAGAATTATATAATTATCATTCTAATATTTGGTATCTCTGATCGACTGATTTCATCAACTTCACATAAAATAATTACATAATTACATAGTCGAAACACATAACATAAATCCACAATGTTTTTCTTTCGTGTCTAAAAAAAAATCGTTAAATATTATAGGAACGTAATTCCTGACTTTAAATTATATATACAAGGAATTATTTCGTATTTTTTTTAAGGTATATTCGCATTATTCTTCTCTCACGTTAAAAAAATGTACCCAGAGCGGCTTTTTAACCCTAAAATACAGTACTGTAGTTTGTTGAGGTTATTTTGTGTTGTGAAATGTAGTGCTGTTTGGGTTCGCTAGTTAAGCTTAGCGTATATTATGAGTGCAGTTGCTGAGAGTGGCAGATTTATGGTTGGTTAACTTACGTTCTCTCTCTCTCTCTCTCTCTCTCTCTCTCTCTCTCTCTCTCTCTCTCTCTCTCTCTCTCTCTCTCTCTCTCTCTCTCTCTCTCTCTCTCTCTCTCTCTCTCTCTCTCTCATTCACCACGGAATGGGGGACTACATAAGTTCTGGGCCCCCTAATCTTCACTCTAACTTGATTCTCTCTCACTCGGCTGCACTCTACTAATATCTATCTCATGTTTGCTAACATTTTGGTGAGTGGGCTCCACCTGGCACTCTTCCCACACTCTCATACACTCTCCCACACTCTCCCACACCCTCCCACACCCTCCCACACTCTCCCACACCCTCCCATACTCTCCCACACTCTCCCACACCCTCCCACACCCTCCCACACCCTCTCACACTCCCCCACACCCTCCCACACTCTCCCACACCCTCCCATACTCTCCCACACTCTCCCACACTCTCCCACACCCCTCCCACACCCTCCCACACCCTCCCACATACACACTCACCCAGCACAGTAACATTGGCAGCCGCCCAGATGGGCGGGTTGGTCTGGGTGGGACCAACTTGACACTGGTACTCTCCGTCCTCAGTGATGGTGATACCACTGATCACCAGGTGATGTTGACCTAGTGCCGGGTCACCTGAGTAGCTGTAGCGAGGATACCCAGGTACCTGGCGCTCAAACCCTGTATGTAAACAAACAAGAAATACCAGTTAACCACCTGTCTAAATAACCCGGTTTGTAAACAAACATATGTGTGTTTACATCTGTTTAATTTCAACATGTGATTGTGTGTTCCAATCAACACCTTTCTTCTGGGTCTCATGGGACGCTTTTCAACACCTGCTGGATGTCATATGACACCCAACAACACCTGCTGGATGTCATATGACACCCAACAACACCTGCTGGCTGTCATATGACACCCAACAACACCTGCTGGCTGTCATATGACACCCAACAACACCTGCTGGCTGTCATATGACACCAAAAACACCTGCTGGCTGTCACATGACACCCAACAACACCTGCTGGCTGTCATATGACACCCAACAACACCTGCTGGCTGTCATATGACACCCATCAACACCTGCTGGCTGTCATATGACACCCAACAACACCTGCTGGCTGTCATATGACACCCAACAACACCTGCTGGCTGTCATATGACACCCAACAACACCTGCTGGCTGTCATATGACACCCAACAACACCTGCTGGCTGTCATATGACACCCAACAACACCTGCTGGCTGTCATATGACACCCAACAACACCTGCTGGCTGTCATATGACACCCAACAACACCTGCTGGCTGCCATATGACACCCAACAACACCTGCTGGCTGTCATATGATACCCAACAACACCTGCTGGCTGCCATATGACACCCAACAACACCTGCTGGCTGTCATATGACACCCAACAACACCTGCTGGCTGCCATATGACACCCAACAACACCTGCTGGCTGTCATATGATACCCAACAACACCTGCTGGCTGTCATATGACACCCAACAACACCTGCTGACTGTCCTGTCATGTGGTAATACCTACAGCTGTCATATCATGCCTTTCAGTATACCCAAAATTTCATCCAACATTTTCTACTGTCAGAAAACAACTATCAACACACAAAATTCTGAAAAATAAAGAGACAAAATACATATATGAAAAAACACCAATTTATAAACCAACTCATAAAAATTTAAATTCAAAGTACAAATATCTTAAAATATATTCCAGTGCAAAACAGCTTAAAAAAAAATTATCGATTTTGCTAAATTTTTTGAGAAATCATTTTAAATCGTATAGCCATTATCAAATTATTTCCACATATCGTATGTGCCTAATTAAACACATAACCATCCAATTTTGCAATTCTCTGAAGAGTTTCAATTATCACAAAAATTGATGCAGGAAACTCGTGGATGAATATAACTTTATATTCTCTAAAAAAAAAATTATAATTCTTCATATTCTTAACAAAATGAATCCTGAACAATTCTTGACTCTCCAGAATAAAACAAATTCTTCCCTTGGTAGAGATTTTATAATTTACGCATTGGTTAGCCAGGTGGAAACAATTAAGTTATTGAGCATGTGAATTGGTTTATTGGTATTGAGAATAAATCTTTTATCAGCATCCCAGCACATCTCCATGTCTGAGATCTCTACAGCATCCCAGCTCATCTCCATGTCTGAGATCTCTACAGCATCCCAGCACATCTCCATGTCTGAGATCTCTACCAGCATCCCAGCTCATCTCCATGTCTGAGATCTCTACCAGCATCCCAGCTCATCTCCATGTCTGAGATCTCTACAGCATCCCAGCTCATCTCCATGTCTGAGATCTCTACCAGCATCCCAGCTCATCTCCATGTCTGAGATCTCTACAGCATCCCAGCTCATCTCCATGTCTGAGATCTCTACCAGCATCCCAGCTCATCTCCATGTCTGAGATCTCTACAGCATCCCAGCTCATCTCCATGTCTGAGATCTCTACAGCATCCCAGCTCATCTCCATGTCTGAGATCTCTACAGCATCCCAGCTCATCTCCATGTCTGAGATCTCTACCAGCATCCCAGCTCATCATCAACCAGAATATTTACCGAGAAGATACAATAATTAACCACAAACACACAACCACAACCCTACAGTAACGTTATAACTTCCATAAAACGTTAACCCCAAAAAAAAAAAACGTTTAAAAAACGTTGTGGCTATGTTATGTTTTGTCTGTGTATTTTTCATACCAAAAAAAAGTTCACGAGTAAAAAATCTCTGAGTCAGTAATGATTGCAACACACTCTAATTGTAAAAACCTCACTTGTAGAGTGGTACCTGATGTAATAATTGCCTGAGGCCTAATTATCATTCCCCTCCCCCCCCCTCCTCCCACTTACACAACAGGGAACGTAATTATATCAATTCCTATCATTCTTGCATGTGTTTAACATTCGCTGAACTTGGGCCAAGTAAGTGAACAAAATTATTCGTTCATGTTGCCACTGAATCTGTTGAGTATTTTGGTGTTGATAATCGACACATACAGCGGCAACATGATACTGTATCGGATACACCGGTGATGCATTATACACCAAGCCAACCATGATATGCATCAATAGCCAACTAGCACCAAGTTACACTCTGCCAACTATCAGAACATGATGGAACACACGACATACTACCCCAGCCATCATGTAAACAGGAGACTGACAACATACAATGAACCTATAAGTGATGTGCTCCACCTTCACCTCATCCTTAGATATATATCAAAGTAGCAAGAAAATTTGTAATTATAATTGTGCCTTGTAATTAATTAATACTTTGTAATTAATTGAAATCTGCAGTTTGTTGTTGTTGTTTAACATTCGCTACCTGGAACAAACAGTTCCAAGTAGCACGGGCTGTGGTGAGCCCGTAGAAACAAAACACTGTAATCCTTCATCCGTTACCAAAAGCCAATACAACCAAAGCTGCTGGAATTAACTATCATATCCCAGAAAAAAAGGATAAAATATTCTCCCGCGAGTCATAGAGAACTTCACTATTTCACAATTTCATCGTTAGGGGGACTTAAATGATAAAATTATTTTCAATTCCCCCCCTATTCTCTCCCCTCGTCCCGCTCTCATCAGCACCTCATCAATCTATTCCCATCTTTCTACCAGCGAACAAAAAAAAATTACAATTAGAAATAGCAGTTGAAGGCTTAGCTGTGAATTAACCGGTAATTAGGAAATTTCCGTTCCGACGAGTCGAGAATATCTTGTGTTGATTGCTTCGGCTTTAATCCATACGCATATACACGGAAAAACCACATGTGAAAAATAGAGAATGCTAAATGCGTTTTCGGCTTATATCCCCTTCATCAGAGTAAAGTAGAATCAAGAATTTTTTTATCATTGTTGCATGTATATATATATAATATATATATATATATATATATATATATATATATATATATATATATATATATATATATATATATATATATGTGTGTGTGTGTGTGTGTGTGTGTCGTACCTAGTAGCCAGAATGCACTTCTCGGCCTACTATGCAAGGCCCGATTTGCCTAATAAGCCAAGTTTTCCTGAATTAATATATTTTGTCAAATTTTTTTCTTATGAAATGATAAAGCTACCCATTACATTATGTATGAGGTCAATTTTCTTTTATTGGAGTTAAAATTAACGTAGATATGTGACCAAACCTAACCAACCCTACCTAACCTAACCTAACCTATCTCTATAGGTTAGGTTAGGTTAGGTAGCCGAAAAAGTTAGGTTAGGTTAGGTTAGGTAGGTTAGGTAGACGAAAAACAATTAATTCGTGAAAACTTGGCTTATTAGGCAAATCGGGCCTTGCATAGTAGGCTGAGAAGTGCGTTCTGGCTACTAGGTACGACATATATATATATATATATATATATATATATATATATATATATATATATATATATATATATATATATATATATATATGAGACAGTGTCAGACCACGGAGGAAGAATTGAAACAAGAATTTCCTTAAGTACTTTCGTATTTAATAAAAACATCTTCAGAAAGATGGATTTACTGTTCAGTGGGATGGATATAGGTAGGAAAGAGATGAGATACAATGTCTTTAATGAGAAAAATGGTTATTAAAAAGGTATTATTGTATAAATGATCCTACTTGAATCGCCCATTAATTGATCTATCAAAAATGGATCTAAATTATTCAAACACAAGAACACACATACACACACACACACACACACACACACACACACACACACACACACACACACACACACACACACACACACATACACACACACACACACACACACATACACACACACACACACACACACACACACACACACACACACACACACACACACACACATACACACACACACACACACACACATACACACACACACACACACACACACACACACACACACACACACACACATACACACACACACACACACACACATACACACACACACACATACACACACACACACATACACACACACATACACACACACACATATACACACACACACACACACACACACACACACACACACACACACACACACACACACACACACACACACACACACACACACACACACACACACACACATATATGCATCTATGTCAGCATCAGCCATAAAAAAAATCATACCTAATTACCTTTCATGAGACAATTACCCCATCAACTCCCCATTAGATGAGCACCCCATCAACTCCCCATTAGATGAGCACCCCATCAACTCCCCATTAGATGAGCACCCCATCAACTCTTCCCAAGAGATGAGCACCCCATCAACTCTTCCCAAGAGATGAGCACCCCATCAACTCTTCCCAAGAGATGAGAGCCTACTCAAATCCTCTGCAACTCAGCCCTCAACTTATTCCATGAACCATCAGGTAATTAAAAAATTTCAAAGCTTTGTTTTGCTTCCAGTATCTCTTATCTCATGAATCAATTTAACGGATTTAGATTCCACAAAAGACTTTGAATTCAAGGAATAATTGCAGTAAATTATTTCTTTGAAAAAAAATATATGCTCGGTTTGGGATTAAAGGGAAAGTGATTCAATGTGTTTTTCGGCTTCTTTGGTTAGTGAGTAATCGCAAAGATCAAGAAGTGAATCTAATCAATGTATGATTAGATTTACATTAATGTAAATCTAATCATACACATTTACATTAATGTAAATCTAATTACTATTGATGTAAATCTAATTACTATTGATGTAAATCTAATTACTATTGATGTAAATCTAATCTATATATACACTATGTTGAACCGAATTAGCGAAGTTTGAACTAATGTTTAGATTACTCTATTGTAGTTGAAACCAATTACTTGGTTAATCTCGATTTGTATAATACAATTTCTTGACCAAAGTGGTTAAGAAAGGCAAAGTAATCCACATTAGGTAAGTCTGCTATCAGAGGGGAAATTAGGTAAGCAGTTAGATAACCAGGAGTTGGTTATCTAACCACTTTGGCTGGACGGTAGAGTGCCGACTTTGATTATTTCAGGGGTCAGAGTTCGATCCCCAATGGTAAAAGTGGTTAGGCATTGTTCATTTATGATATCGTCATATCCAAGCTTCAATCCTGTCCTCATATCCCAGCTCCTTTTCCTCATATCCCAGCTCCTTGTCCTCACATCCCAGCTCCTTGTCCTCATATCCCAGCTCCTTGCCCTCATATCCCAGCTCCTTGTCCTCATATCCCAGCTCCTTGTCCTCATACCCCAGCTCCTTGCCCTCATACCCCAACTCCTTGTCCTCATATCCCAGCTCCTTGCCCTCATATCCCAGCTCCTTGCCCTCATATCCCAGCTCCTTGTCCTCATATCCCAGCTCCTTGTCCTCATATCCCAGCTCCTTGCCCTCAAATTCCAGCTCCTTGTCCTCATATCCCAGCTCCTTGCCCTCATATCCCAGCTCCTTGTCCTCATATCCCAGCTCCTTGTCCTCATATCCCAGCTCCTTGTCCTCCTGAACCTTCCAAGTGCTATATAGTCATTCCGACTTAGTGCTGTCTCCTCGTTATCTTACCTAGAGTTAGATATCACAAAGTGTTGATCAACGCTATCCATAATCTAACCTAACCTAACCACTAGCCTCAGAGTAGACTCAATTGTAAGTGTTGGTCCCGCTGTAGGAGCCAGTTCATCTTACCTCATAAAGACTTGAAGGGTAACAAGGCTTTGACCTCCATACACATTGGGGGGTTAAGGGTTCGAGTCTCTTACAGGCCTGGTGAATAGAATGCTACAAGAAAGGGGAAGCTTGTGCAGATAGATATCAGTAGATGTAGATAGACTCTTATTGAAACTAACGTGAAGTTCGTCTGACTCTTACTGAAAGTCATGTGAAGTTCGTCTGACTCTTATTGAAACTCATGTGAAGTTCATCTGATTCTTACTGAAACTCATGTGAAGTTAATCTGACTCTTACTGAAACTCATGTGAAGTTCGACTGACTCTTACTGAAACTAACGTGAAGTTCATCTGACTCTTATTGAAACTCATGTGAAGTTCATCTGACTCTTATTGAAACTCATGTGAAGTTCATCTGATTCTTACTGAAACTCAAGTGAAGTTCATCTGATTCTTACTGAAACTCATGTGAAGTTCATCTGACTCTTACTGAAACTAACGTGAAGTTCGACTGACTCTTACTGAAACTCATGTGAAGTTCATCTGACTCTTATTGAAACTCATGTGAAGTTCATCTGATTCTTACTGAAACTCATGTGAAGTTCATCTGATTCTTACTGAAACTCATGTGAAGTTCATCTGATTCTTACTGAAACTAACGTGAAGTTCCTCTGACTCTTACTGAAACTCATGTGAAGTTCATCTGACTCTTACTGAAACTAACGTGAAGTTCGTCTGACTTACTGAAACTCTTGTGAAGTTCATCTGACTCTTACTGAAACTCTGGTGAAGTTCGACTGACTCTTACTGAAACTCACGTGAAGTTCGACTAACTCTTACTGAAACTAACGTGAAGTTCATCTGACTCTTACTGAAACTCTCTGTGAAGATCTGTCTGTCTGTCTGTGAAGGTCTGAGATGACCTTAATATCCCCCGCGAGACAGAAGGACGCTCATTGTATACGAGAGCAGATCTCTGCCAGAGTGATGCCTCGGAGTGCTTCAGTGAGATGGAGGCAGCGACGAGCAGCCTCTCAAGCAGTAGCAGGAGCAGAAGCAGCAACGAACTCAACCAGAAACAGAAGCAGAGAGCAGCGTGAACCACAGCAGAAAATGAGGCCTCAGCAGCAGCAGAAGCAGAATGAGGAGATCAGTAACAGGAGCAGAAGGAGCAGCAACAATCCCTTATGAAACTTGCTCCAGCAACACACAACGCTTGCACGAAAAAAGCAACATTCATCCTCCTGGGTAATTACCATCCGCTCACAGAATCCATTTTCGCTTCAGCTCAAAACTCGAACATTCTTTGTGCGATGCGCTATTAAGTCTATACATTTTTCCCGTTCTCCTAAATGCTCAACTGGCAGATTTCATAAGGTTTAATTCCCTAATATTACAGCTATCCGCATAGTTTCCTCCGTCCACCTGGAGCTCGGGCTTTAATTAATGTTTGTAATGGGTTTTGTGTGTTTTTTTTTGTCGTGTTTTATTCGTGTTAATGAGTAATGCATGTGGCTCTTCGACTGAGATCAGGAAAGGAAACGGAAGAGGAAATTAAAGAACTGTTTACATGGAGGTAAAGGTAGCAGGTGTAAAGGGTTCAGGGAAGGGAGGGTTAGTGTAAGGTAGGGAGGGATTTTAGGGAGTGAGGGAGGGTGAAGGTGCTAAAGAGGGAAGAGTGAGGATTATAAAGAAGGAAGAAATTTGAGGGAGTGTGAAAGAATGAAGGAGAAGTGAATTGTCAATTGTGAATCTTGGTTTTGGGAGAGAGAGAGAGAGAGAGAGAGAGAGAGAGAGAGAGAGAGAGAGAGAGAGAGAGAGAGAGAGAGAAGGAGAGAGAGGGAGAGAAGAGGAGAGAGAGAGGGAGAGAACGGAGAGAGAGAGGGAGAGAGAGAGAGAGAGAGAGAGAGAGAGAGAGAGAGAGAGAGAGAGAGAGAGAGAGAGAGAGAGAGAGAGAGAGAGAGAGAGAGAGAGGGAGGAGAGAGAGAGAGAGAGGAGGAGAGAGGAGAGAGAGAGGAGAGAGAGGGAGAGAGAGGGAGAGAGAGAGAGAGAGAAAGAAAGAGATAGAGAGAGAAAAAGAGAGATTTCCTTGAGCATTTTCTTGTGAATATAAGAAAGAGGCAAGAATAATGAAAGAAATAACTCATAAAAGAGTGAATAACACAACTCCATAAACTATAAAACCCAGAAGACTATTGATCTCCTTATTAAAAACAGCCTGAAGCCGACGGAGAACCCTCTACAACAGTCAAGCGTTGTATACATGTTCACTTGCCCCCACGAAGGATGTAACCTTCAGTCTAAGTACATAGGTATGACGTCGACCAAGCTGACGAGGCGTTTGACCTGTCATCTTCAATTAGGTGCCCTTAAAAATCCCATGAAAGAAGCCCATGGCATTACCCTAATGAGAGAAATGCTGTTTAAAAACAATTGCATATCAGGTAAAATCTAAGATATCAGATTACGAATTCTTGAAGCTTTAGACATAAATGTAGAACAATCCATATATATATATATATATATATATATATATATATATATCTTAAGCTGATATATGTAAATGAAATTATCATACCATCAATTTCGCTGCGGCTGTGAATAGGCTGAGCTGCTAATCTTCGTTCGCCATTATGTACTATGAATTAGATCAGACTTGCCAATCCCCGTTCAGACTTGCTGCACCCAGTCAATCACAAGTAGCAGAGAGACAGCTTAATTAAGTCTGAACCAATATGAGAGCCTCTACAGGATAGCCCAGAGGGAGTAAGAGAGAGAGAGTGTGGTAGTGGAGTGGGGAGCAGCTATCGTGGAACGCTGATGACACTTGCATGGGGAAGATGAGGGTTTCCTGCTATCGTTGTGAAAGGATATCATAGAATATATAGAACAGAGGTATGAGGAAAATGAGGGCTTCCTGCTATCGTTGTGAAGGCTATCATAGTAAACATAGAACAGAGGCATGAGGAAAATAAGGGCTCCCTGGTATCGTTGAGAAAGGATATCATAGTACACATAGAACAGAGGCATAAGAAAAATGAGACCTCCCTGCTATCGTTGTGAAAGGATATCATAGTACACATAGAACAGAGGCATAAGGAAAATGAGGGCTAGCTGCTATCGTCTTAAAAACTATCGCAGTACACAGAGAAGAGACATGAAAAGCTCGCAATTTCTGCTATCACTGTCGAAGCTATCATTTCACCCAGAGGATAAACGCGACATACGAAACACTTTAGCCACATTCCATAAATAAAATCAATTAAAAGTTGTGTAACTTTTAGCACGTCAGTCTACGAAACGAGGCACGTGTAGGGTGTCTCCCAGTACATTAGTTCGATTCCACCGTCCTGCTCCAAAAAGATGTTTTCATAAATGTGCTAATATCTAGAAGAGGCATACCTAGAGCGAAGCCATCTTTAGTCCACTGCGCTTTGCCTTGCTGGTTCTCCACAATGCAGCGGAGGAAGACATCTGCTCCTTCCATCACCTCTACACTCTCTGGAGTCACCAAGAATCGCTGGAACCCCACTGCTGAACCTGAGGAAAACAGAGAATTATATATAGTTTTGTGTATGTATGTATGTATATATATATATATATATATATATATATATATATATATATATATATATATATATATATATATATATATATGACTGAAAACTCACACCCCAGAAGTGACTCGAACCCATACTGCCAGGAGCAACGCAACTGGTATCTACAGGACGCCTTAATCCGCTTAATCCGTCAAGCGGATTAAGCCGTCCTGTAGATACCAGTTGCGTTGCTCCTGGCAGTATGGATTCGAGTCACTTCAGGGGTGTGAGTTTTCAGTCGCATATAGTCCTGGGGACCATTCAGGCTTGTTCACATATATATATATATATATATATATATATATATATATATATATATATATATATATATATATATATATATATATATATATATATATATATATATATATATATGACAGTGTCAGACCACGGACACTGGCCAGTACTCCTGTACTGACAGGAGTACACCGTACACAGTACACAGTACACAGTACGCCTCACCAGAAGCTTAGAACCTACCTTGAGATATCTAGAGCTGGTTTCGGGGCTCAGCGACCCCGCGGCCCGGTCCTTGACCTTGGCATTACAATTATACTATCATACAGTGTCTTGTTACACTGTTAGTCTTCCAACACTGTCAGTCAGTCTTAAATTAAGAATTGAGGAAACTAAAGAGGGCTTATTGGCCCTTGCAAGGCAGTTCCTGTTTAAATCCACCCAAATTCAAGCATTTATGTCTAACCTACGCTTGAAACAATCAAAGTATACGAGGCAGCTCCTATAAAAATATCCACCTCATTTATATATATGTTTACCCAACGCTTGAAACAATCCAATCATACGAAGAAGTTGCTAAAAATATATCCACCTCATTCATATATATAATGTCTAACCTACGCTTGAAACAATCTATCGATCCCCACAATTATTCGGATTGCATGCATAGTTTCATAATACTACAAACATACTGCAAGAAAATGCACGATTGCAATGTGCAATCAAGAAACCTCCCAATAATTAACATGTCACATGGATACCGTTGCAACAGATGGGGGTTAAAAATAAACTACCACGCTATAGTTTCATGGCCAGTTAACGAGTTCCTGGGAAGAAACCTGGTTGTTTAGGAGCATAAAAAACACGAATACATTGCTACAAATGCGCCAGTTTATCAGGAATATTTCTCGGCCAAATTAAATGATGTTGACTATTTTCTGTAAAATGTGACGTTTTCTTTTATTTCTCGGGTGTCTCTGGAGATATAAATATGTAAATATATATATATATATATATATATATATATATATATATATATATATATATATATATATATATATATATATATATATATATATATATATATATATATATATATATATATATATATATATATATATATATATATATATATAATGTTCAACAATTATTTACTTTGAGTATTTCAAAGGGAAAATGATTTTGTGTTTCAGTATGTGTGTGTGCGTGTGTGTGTGTGTTCTCCAGGCATATGTGTGTGTGTATTCAAGCGACATTGCGTGCATTTGCAGGTGATTCTAACCGATTACAGTGCTGGTTTGCGTGCATAGGTGTGAAACGTAAAGGAACGAATATATTTGGTGTTAATTATACTGTCATGTTTATTATTTCATAAGACGTACCTTTAACTAATTCCTGGTATATATATACATATATATATATATGTACCAGTTGTAGGGACCCATTGCCTCAGAGAAGAGAATACAGAGCATTCAGAAAAAAATTGCCATTTAACTCTAAATACGCAGTAGGAATACGTCTTACTTCAAGGGAAACTAAAAGAAATTAAAGAATATAATGACGGTCAAAATAGACCATTCGCTAAATAACTACTTAATGAAATATTACGTAATATATAATTGGAGAACTGAAGCATTATTTTTTGAACAGAGATCGCAGCTTCATTTTATATTAACACTCCATAATTCGCAGGCCAGACTGTCCATTCACACAAGAGCCCGCAATTTTAAGGCCTAACTCATGTAAAGTATGACCAATCGCAAGGCAGTGATTCCTAATTTCAGAAAATGCTGGTTAAATTAATATCTTTTAAGACTGGTCTTCAAATAATAAAGCCATCTTTTTTAGAAATTAAAAGATACTAGATATCAAGTTTACTTTTTTACCAACGAACAATCTATCTTGTAACATAACATAATCATTCAGAATGTTAAATATTCCGTTTCAAGGATTCCTAATTTCAGAAAATGCTGGTTTCATTAATATCTTTTAAGACTGGTCTTCAAATAATAAAGCCATCTTTTTTAGAAAATAAAAGTCACTAGATAACAAGTTGACTTTTGTACCAACAAGCAGTCAATCTTGTAATATAACATAATCATTCAGAACTTAAATATTCCGTTTCAAGGGCCCTTGAGTGTTGTGAAAATATTCTGACGCTCCCAGGATATGTTCAGATAGACAGGACAGCCTACACTGTCGACCTAATAATGAAGATACTCATAAGTGGTGGCATTTAGTGTGAGTGAGTGAGTACCTTCATTCACCATGACCCCAGAAGGTACTCAGAGACATTCGACGTAAGTCCCTTTCTCTTGCACTTAAACACTTCCTCTATAAGTGCAAAGAGTCTGATATGCCTCGTCCAACAAAGGTGAGGGATACACCTCTGTACCAAGCCATCTACCACACCTAGTGGCGACGCTGCACCAAATGTTTGGAATTGTTGACCAGCGGACTCCATGTGTGATATTGGAGACCGATAACTGAAAGGCGTGTTATCCTTGCGCTGTGTTCCACTGTATTGACTGCGGTCAATACAGCCTGGCCTCTCTTGTAACCGTGTCTCACAGGTAAAGAGGACTATATGTACTCACTGGTGTAGTGAGTTATCTACGTCTACCTCACTTGTGTTGAGTAATCTACTTCTACTTCACCTGTGTTCTACAGTAATCTACATGAATCATAGCCGGGTTGATCGGGCATTATCTCCTCAATGACTTTATGAGGAGCCGGTCGGCCGAGCGAGGGGGCCGGTCGGCCGAGCGGACAGCACTCTGTACTTGTGATCCTTTGGACCTGGGTTCGATCCCAGGCGCCGGCGAGAAACAATGGGCAGAGTTTCTTTCACCCTATGCTCCTGTTACCTTGCAGTAAAATAGATACCTGGGTGTTAGTCAGCTGTCACGGGCTGCTTCCTGGGGGTGGAGGCCTGGTCGAGGACTGGACCGCGGGGACACTAAAGCCCCGAAATCACCTCAAGATAACAGAGGTCCAAATTTAATTGCTAAAGTAAAGGTAAAATAGCATATGTGATATTATATATAAATTATGTAATATTGAGTATACTCAATATAACTTTACGATCCTGCTGTTGCAAGTTGTTGAAACGTCAAACAAAATATAATATTCATATCAGAAGAGGATAAGTTGCAATATTGTGAGAAGGGGTTATCTTGAGGTTATCTTGAGATTATTTCGGGGCTTTAGTGTCCCCGCGGCCCGGTCCTCGACCAGGCCTCCACCCCCAGGAAGCAGCCCGTGACAGCTGACTAACACCCAGGTACCTATTTTACTGCTAGGTAACAGGGGCATAGGGTGAAAGAAACTTTGCCCATTGTTTCTCGCCGGCGCCTGGGATCGAACCCAGGACCACAGGATCACAAGTCCAGTGTGCTGTCCGCTCGGTCGACCGGCTCCGGGGTTCTCACAGCATTGTTCCATACGAAAATGTTTTTCTCAAACAACATTGATTAATGCCAAAAAACACTCTAAACATAACCTGAATAGCATACTGCCTTCAGTATGCTGCAGGAACTAGCATACCTCTGAGAGGAACCTATTCACCAAACTGACAGCACGGCGAAGCTGAAGCTGTCCAGCTTGATGGAAAGGGGATATATGTATATATATTTATGCTTACATCAGCCACTGCCTGAAGCTAGGGATGGTAAGAATTTTATTAAACAGCCTGGAGAAGTCTCCCCTGAAGCTGGGTAGCCAAGCGTGCCCTAAACAGTGTGAGAAGTCTGGTTCTGATGGATGATTAATGGACTCACTCAAGCGCCAGAAGGTGCTGCTGCTGGGCCGAGGAGCTTCAATCACGAGAGACTATTTCAAACTCCATCCTTTCCTCCCATTATAGGTTCAGGTTCCCATGATAGGCATCACTCACAAGGACTTTTCCAAGTACTTGGTTGACGGCCCTCACTTGAGACAGTCGTGGAGTCTCTGTCTCTGTCTCTGTCTCTGTCCCTCAGGAGGGCGAATGGACGTGAGTCTCTTCACAAGAATTGTACAGTGTTGACCACCAGTGGTGATCTGTAGAACATTGTTGACCCAGCAGTGGGGATCTGTAGAACATTGTTGACCAGCAGTGGTGATCTGTAGAACATTGTTGACCAGCAGTGGTGATCTGTAGAACATTGTTGACCAGCAGTGGTGATCTGTAGAACATTGTTGACCCAGCAGTGGTGATCTGTAGAACATTGTTGACCCAGCAGTGGTGATCTGTAGAACATTGTTGACCCAGCAGTGGTGATCTGTAGAACATTGTTGACCAGCAGTGGTGATCTGTAGAACATTGTTGACCAGCAGTGGTGATCTGTAGAACATTGTTGACCCAGCAGTGGTGATCTGTAGAACATTGTTGACCCAGCAGTGGTGATCTGTAGAACATTGTTGACCAGCAGTGGTGATCTGTAGAACATTGTTGACCAGCAGTGGTGATCTGTAGAACATTGTTGACCCAGCAGTGGTGATCTGTAGAACATTGTTGACCCAGCAGTGGTGATCTGTAGAACATTGTTGACCCAGCAGTGGTGATCTGTAGAACATTGTTGACCAGCAGTGGTGATCTGTAGAACATTGTTGACCCAGCAGTGGTGATCTGTAGAACATTGTTGACCAGCAGTGGTGATCTGTAGAACATTGTTGACCCAGCAGTGGTGATCTGTAGAACATTGTTGACCCAGCAGTGGGGAT